TTGACAGCTGAGCTCGCGCCGCCACTAGATAAGCAAAACCTGTCAATTGAAGACTTTTAGCTTTGTTTTGAAATCGATAGTGTTCAGTCATTCATGATTGCAGGAATGCAGGTGAGGTATTAATAGACCATTATCATGTCGCGGCCATCTTGATTTTTCTCATTCAAATCAACGTAACCAAAGTGAGGCTGGAAGGAAAAATAGTCTGGTTCCTTTTTGCACAAAAACATTATCGTTCAGTACTGTTATTGGGTACAGGGAACATGACCGAAATGGTGGCAGCATAATAAAGGTCTATAGAATGCTAACAAGTGCATGCACGATAATATCATCCCATAGCCCTTTATTCATGGACGGACTTATACACACACTCTTGAGTAATTTCGCATTTCCATCCTTTAGATTGGCATTAATGATTGCCTTAGCAGCGCGGTTTTACTCTCCACAGGTCAGTCAAAGAGTCTTTTTTCCCCTTTGTTCTCCATGGCTACATGCTACAGCGATAAAAGCAACTCGGGTCATGCGAAATTACTTTTGGCCCAGATCTGTCATCTGAAGGGAAATGTATTTCATTTTAAAATTAGTAAGTTGCCTATTCTGGACACAGTATGGCGTCAGTCACTGTGTACTTAACTCAGTGTTATAGATCAGACACCATGATGTACACACAATCTCGCGTGATTTTCATCTCTCACCAATTGATAATAAGAGAAGATGCGGTAGATGTATGGCAGTAAGCCTCTACAGGGGTGGTCTTTTTTCCCTGTAAGGCGCCAGAGCAACTGATAGTAAGATTGTAGTTCAGACCCAGGCAAATTTCCGAGTGGTTTAAACTCGCTGGAGCGTACTTCTCTTCTTTTTCTTCTTCAAAATATTATATTGGTAACAGACAGATAAAAAGGCTTCCAAGATGTAAGCCCACGTTAATTACTTCTTCGTCTTCATCCATTTAGGTCTGTGTACTGTGTTGACGATAATTAAGCCCACGTTATTTACTTCTTCGCCTTCATCCATTTAGGTCTGTGTACTGTGTTGACGATAATTTTTTTTTTCCCTGGCTGCAGTATGTACCAGTACCAAAAAGGTCAAACCAGTTAAATGTCAGTGTGATTTAGTCCGAGATAATGCCCCTAATAAGAAGAAACAAACAGCAGCTGATAAGTTTAGGAACGGTTGAGCAATACAATAAAATATCGTCCACCTTTTGGGAGTGTTGTGTAAGCGGCAGGTGGTAGCGCCGTGGCATCCGCAGGGACAAGCAAGGAGCTTCATTTTGTGGGGAAAAGGAATAAAGATGTCTGATCGATATCTGTATCCGTGGACAGATAGAGGTTGAGTAAGTCTGGAATACGAAGAGGAAATGGTGAAGATGGAGTTGGGAAGATGATAAGATGAGTTGTCTGTGTGCGTACAATGATGAATGCAGTGACAGGGGAGGAACACCCTTGCCGTGGCACGAATCACTTTCTTATACTATGTCGGAGGGAGAATCGTCTCAAACGAAGTGTTTTGCGTAATTGCATTGCGTTGTATGCATACTTCGCACGATCGCGAAACCCATCTCCACAATGTACCTTCCTCAAAAGGTCAAAATATGTTTTACGTTCACCATTCTGTGATGTGTGGACCTGTCTTTAGACACAAAGCATTTTTGCAAGTGTGCAGGGCTCTTTTACGCCAGTGATTATTGACTTATACACAATAATACCTTTATCTACGTAATGTAGTTTTCTCTGTCGTTGAGTTTCTTGTGTCTTATCTGTATTTAAGTCTTACGTTGTTCTCCAATCATTCGTAGACAGTAACTCTCAATCAATACTTGACACTTTCAATCCAACCCTTGGGTGGATTTTCTAACCATTTGCAATTAAATCAAGCCGTGGAACGATTTATAATAACCACTCATCTTCTGAACGGCCGGTCAAGCACTTGGCCTACGCGGCCTAGTGACCCCTTCACCGTCATGCTCAAGGTCCCCTATTGCCGTAGTTGATTTCAAAGGCCTGATTTCGACTATTGATTTGTCTCTTGTTGTTTCACCGCTCCTTCACTCCACCTCGTGAGAACCAACAGTTTTTAAGGGATGACAATGCATCCACACGAACTAGTGATTATGTTCTTTGAAAGGTGTCAGGTGTTTTCGGATCAGATTGCCGTAATTCGTGGGTACCGAACGAATAAAAACTTCAGCTGTTTATAGTTTAAGACATTTATGGAATTGCCACAGCTGTTTTTGTTTTAATACAGCAGTGTGTAGTCAATATGAGACTGTTTCATTACGGGTTCATTTATAATTCATACTACATTTGACACTTTAAATCCAACCCTTGGGTGGATTTTCTTACCATAAAAAGAGGGATGTAAGCAAGCGGGATTTAGAACTTAAGCATGTGGGATTTTCAAAGATGGTGTTTCTTACACTCATGATTAATTTCCTTTCTGATACCCTTTGAGTGTTAATAATAATAAACTTCAGCCGATGTTGTTAGAATTACATTTCTTTTACAAGTGGCGAAATGGGGGGCATGGGGGGGCACGCCCCCTCCCCATGCCTGTTCGAGGCCTGTGCCCCCCTTGTGCCCCCCTTTATGAAATGTCTAAAACCCATTGACAACCCCACTTCAGAATATGAGGTCCTTTGTAAGTGCCGCCTGTACGGTGCAGTATTCGCCATTGTCTTGGGCACCGCGGTGTGTATAACGAACGCATCTCTATAAAAAGGGGAACCATGTTTCAATTCATCGTCTCATGTAGACCAGGTGACAGGCAAAAGCCTTCATTTTTTCGCAAATCGATCGCCTTCCCAGGCTTACACGCGGAGAGACCGGATTGGGTCTAGAATAATGTTTATATCTGGGTCAATGTGTGATTCACTCCGCAACGATCTAGAATCGTTTACCGTGGTAGGCCTATGTGTACGGACAAGTCTTCAGTTTAAAAAACGTGAAAGTTAGGGTGACAGTGACACAGTGGCAGAATGCCCAGAAAAGTCAAAGTTTATCATCCGCTAAAGACAGGGATATAAAAGAGAAGCCATTCAATGCATTAATTGCCAGCATGCGAAGACAGGCCTAATAAGAAAAACGGTACTTCAAAACCGCGAAAGCGGTAGGCCTGCCTTAATTTTCCCCGCGGACATGATTTTGTCTAGGCCTCAGCTCTTCGTGGCGACGGTTCAGCTTTCGGTTATATGACAAATGTTTCGCCATCCGCTGATTTTAACGTAAACTCCAGATAGGAATAAGCAAAATACGACGTGCAGGAAATGGGAAAAGACAAGAGGGAAACGAGGGGGAAACGAAGTCTCCATCTATATCGAAGTTGTAAGCTGAATGCCTGGCAGTGGTCTAGTTTCCAGTGTTCTACTTACAAGCGCGCCACACTAAGTATTATGAGTGCAGCACCAATCTCTACTCTTCGATCCACTCCACCAAATTACAAGTGCACTTTGGACGCACTGGCCACTTCCTTCCAGATTTCACACTCTATTTCCCGCCCTTCTGTATGCGGGCTCGATTCGTTGTACAGCTAAAAAGACAATTTTTTTCTAAACCGTTCTGCTTAGAAAATGTATATCACGGTAACCCTACCTGTATGCCGATGCGGTGTTATACGAAGTCTCTTGGCCTGGTTATGAATTCGGTGTTTAGGTTTTGGAACGCAGTGCATTCGAACAAGTTGTAGGCCTATAACGTTAAAGGTTGCTGTTTACCGTGCAGTACTATAGGTATTTACACACATTGCATTCCTTTTACTTGATTAACTTTATCGTACACAATGCCGCATGAGAATGACCACATATTTCTATATACTCCAAAATAGGCAGCACAAAATAGGCGTACCACGGCATTACTAAGCACACACGTTTATAAACGTACACTTTGATTCGTGTAACCTTTTTTATCATCTTTTCATATATCGACAATTCTCTACGCCTTTGGCTAGGCGTTGTGATTCCCACAACATGCAGGTTGCAGGCATGGAGAGATATAATTCCCTCCGGATCTCCAATTGGAAAAGAGCTTTATTTGTGTTTGAAAAATTATACACAGCATTAGGGCCCATCTTCTGTGAAATTACATTATCTCCTATGTAGCATTCGTAACGATAGAGATAAAGTGGTTTTGCTATACACTAGAATTGATTGAATCCTTGGAGATGCTTGAGAGGTTGAGATATTACGTTTTCACGGTCACAGTCGTTTAAGCCTATTCGAAGTTCAAGTTGAAGACTTATTACAGCGTAAATCGCATGCATGCAATGGTAACTGCTTTCTGCTCGTGAGCTAGCATGACGTTCATGCAGTACTTGCATAGTGTGTAGCCGTACAGCTGTGCATACCGCGTCCCAGTTCCGGTCTTTCCAGTCAGACCCCCTCCTTTTCCTCTCTGAAATCGTGTTGCGTGTCGCGCCCCGCAGACCAGCTACGGCATCGCCAATGAGTTGCTGACGGGTGCCTGCTACTATCGATTTCTATTGCACTTTGTGACGTGCCAATGCGTAACGAAACGGAACAGATTGGGTTAAGTTTCACTTCCAGCGTCTTTGACCTTGTCAGTCCTCTCTCATCCTGAATGCCTGAGTGATTAATTTGCCCTCTGAGTACTTTTAAGAGGGTATTCTCACATCTCGGCTGATGCAGGCTATAGTTCACGCGGAAGAAAATAATGGTGCCGTGAAGACTTGGCGATGCGCGCCTTGCAATGTAAATGTAATCAGACGTTATAATTCCAATTCTGTAATAACGGTTATGGCCAACTGAAACTCTATCACACACATTCGACAGTTTAAATGCATTCCCAGCATGACATCATTGAAATATGTAATGAGTGTGTCTTTTGACAAAATGTGATTAACACAGCGCCCCCAAGTGGCAATTAACCCCTCTCATTGAATAAACTGTCTGGCCTCATCGGTTTACAACCCTAATTGCCAATTTAAAAAAGGTACTTTGCAACTGGACAGTGATTAACGATTATCTCAATCTTTATTTTATGCAGAAACGGCAGCCGCAGAAGAACTTCAAGTCCGTCTTTCCGGGGGCTTTACCCCAAGCGAAGGACGGGTAATGATCTTCGCAGAGGGACTATGGAGGGCAGTGTGCGACACAGACTGGGGACTGCCCGATGCTGAAGTGGTCTGTCGTCAGCTGGGCAACGGCTATGCAACGATGGCTTGGAGGGGTGCCCATTTCGGGGAACTCACGGGCCCGGGAGACGAGTTGAGGATAATTTTGTCCTGCAAGGGGACGGAAAAAGAGGTGTCTGCATGCCCACGCCATCAAATTTCTTCCCAGTCTTGTGGGAAATTTAAAACGGCAGGTGTCCGTTGTGGAAACGTATCAGAATTGAAAGGCAGGTTTTTGTGATGTTTATTCTTGTTTTTACCTGTTATCTAATAATGACGTAGGCGAGCTAACCGTAGTTCCTGCAAACCGTCAAAATACTGATTCCGGCCCTGGATGATCAATATAGGCCTACATTTATATCTTTTTGGTGACTAACGAAAAAAAAAACTAAATCCATTCACGTTTAAAGACAAAATGAAATCGTTGATTCTGAGGGGCGTCAAAATTATTTCCACTTACCAAGTGTTGAGGCAGTCCAACCCCGATCGGTTTTATCGACGAATATAAACAAAACATTATCCGGTAAAAAAAGACACTCGTTGATTGAATATTTGAACGAATATTACTGGAAAGAAAATCATTTTCCAAAGGCGTATTTGTTCTTTGCAACTTTACTTTGTTTGTTTTTGTTACTTGCGTTTGGATTTGTACTTGCTTTGAAAAACATTAAGCAGACTAACTCGAAACTCTACCAATGATAAGCATTTTCTGTTGTTTTCTTTTTACTGTTTCACAGAAAATCAAGTTCGTCTTGTTGGAGGAATGACGCCCAATGTTGGTCGAGTGGAAGTTTTTCAAAATGGAACATGGAGCGTAGTTTGCTTGGGATCATGGGACATGACGAAAGCCAGTGTTGCATGCCGGGAACTGGGTTATCCTGGTGTCATCGCGGACTGGGGTAGAACTGCGATTCATTCGGATCATGCGGGGATCCTACAAAAAACAGTCAATTTTATGTCGTGTTCTGGGCTTGAAAACAAGATTTTTGACTGCAAGGTGGGCATCCCCGGGAATTCCCAGTGCCAGGAGCCGGCGACTGTTTCCTGTGCAGCTGACGATCCGAACGGTATAAACATTTATCAGTATCATTACAACATCGAGTTTTTGTCCCTTCCTTATCATGAACGAAATTCCCTCGGACCATGTTTTCAAAAGCAAGCCTTGCCATGCTTGGTTAAGACACCAAAATTCCCTCGTTAAACGAAGGATTTCGAATTGCATCTGTCATTATAGACTTTACCATTCATTATCATTTATTCATAAATATCTAAGACTGTTTACCCATTCCTATTGGTCGAGAGCCCATCACGTGGCCGGTTTGAAACGGTTGATAAAGACATGACTGGCGGGTCTTATACACTTATGCAGTGTCACATGAAATTTTGACTGGTATGAAATCCGGTGCTAGCACCGTTTTATTGGTGGAACTTTCGCAATCCTCACGTAGGCATGCGCAATACTACCAGTGAGTCAGTATTTCATAGTCCTACATTCACAACGCACTCGCCACAGCTGTATCTGCGCGACATCGGCTCGGGTACTTATCAGCATCCAGACTCCAACTGGTCCCCCCAAGCACACATTTATTCCCTTAATATAATCTACATCGTTTTTTACTCACCACTATTCTACTCCAAAACCTCTCCATGATAATTCCCCCCTTTTCCACCACTGCAGTCAATTTTCCCTTTCTGCAAATATTGCCCGACCATTTATCCCTGCCCACGCTCAATATTGTCACCTCCATATAGATTTTTACGCACACGTGATCCTCCCCGTCGGAGCTAAGCTCGCTGGAATAAATCCTTGCAACACTATTATATCCGAGACCCCACTCAATAGGAAAAGAACCATACGCCTGTTTAAATAAATCGAATTCTTCATACTTCCGCAGGTGACACGCATCGCCTGGAGCATGCAGTGTGTATTTGAATGTATTTTCTGCTGCATTGACCGGATTGCAAAAATCTATGGAAGATTTAAGTTCTTGTTGCCTTGAAATTGAATGTCGTCTTCGTGCGATTTTAAACATTAGGTTGATAAATTCAGTCGTGGGAGTTGATGCATTGCAGTCGGGCTTCGTGAAAAATAACTAGGGGACAAGTTGAGCGACGTAGACCTACGAGAAGCTTTCGGGTCGATTATTGTTGTTATCAAGTGGAAAACTAGCGAGGAGAGAGATGCAGGTTGATTGTACGGAAACACTGACAGACAAACGGTTACAATAAATCGAGATGGAGAGCCGGAAACATAAGTCAATCCAATAGAGTTTTCCACCTTTTCCTGTTTTAACATGGCTGTTTGAGCTGTAAGATCCAATTGTATCATTTGTAACTATCTGGGAGAAGAAATTACTGTATACATATACCGTAATTATTGCTAAAACTGTGAGTAATAATTTTGACTTTCTTGTGACAGACGGATTGTCATTTCGACGAAACTGACAAACGTTAGCTTAGCTGGCCAAAAAGATATAACGAGGTGATGTATATCCGGTTCGTTAGTGTGACGTCACCTCCAGCACTCTCTGCACGATTGGAACCGGTAGTTAACGCAGCTCGAGCGTTTGTAGCAAATGGGCGCTAGTAATCAGTGGAGCGCGCACGTGTATGACGTTTTTATTAACGAACCGGATAGTATAGTAACGGAACGCCATTTTGATTTCTTCACCTCTTCCGCAGCTATTGGTTTCTTGCTCCAGAAGTGGAGGTGTCTAACAATTAAGTTGCATGTCGCATTTTCGGTCACATTTCCCAATAAAGTATAGCAGCTTTCTCTAGCTCCAGTTCTTATTGGAAAATCTGACGCACGTGTATGATTTACGTTTACGTTTACTCCAACGGGACGTGACGGTACACGCATTTGCAATTTTTTTGATTCTTTGTGGGAACATAGGCCTAATAAAAATACCTCTGATCTTGTATCCTTGTGCATGGATTGCACACTTCGCTTCCAGACATGAAAAACCATTTCCCTTGGAAAATATCTGTACAAGCAATCGAGTATTTACTTAATTTGGTGGAAATTGAGCTGATTTCTAATGCCGATTTCCCATGACTTTGATTTCCCCTTATCTTTCTTCAATTACCTTTGGAGCAATTATCATGCAGACTCGACAGTAATTTATATTAGATTCCACTTAAACATTTGCAGGTCTTTTGCCGTACGGAATTCGCTTGGCCGGGGGTGACCAACCTAACAAAGGTCGGGTGGAGATTAATCTCGGAGATTCCTGGGGGACAATTTGTGACCAGGGGTGGGACCTGAGAGACGCCACTGTCGTCTGTCGACAACTCGGCTATCCGTACGCTGCGGCGGCCGCCAAGGGTGCACACTTCGGCCACGGCACGGGACAGGTCATCCTCAGTCAAGTCAGTTGCTCTGGACACGAGAGGCACTTGCTGGAATGCCCAAGGAGTGGCATTGGAGCCACCAGTTGTCTGCATGATAGAGACGCCGGCGTGGTGTGTAGCCTTGATCACACAGCTAATCCGGCAGGTAGGTACCCCCTTTTCGTGACTTTCCCGGCCGTATGACGGTATTATGTATTGTAAATTAGAGCGATGCCAAGTTGGCTTAGGTTTTCTCTTCTGATGGCGCCGGTTCGAATCCTATGCAATACGTTATGTCGTCATAGACACATTGCATTATAATGCACTGGGTGTCGGGCCGATGTGTTTAGTCCCATTTACACAATTTTCCGCCAGAGGAGATTCCGATTCCTTTATTTCAAATCGATTGGTTGCTATTTCAGAATAGTACGATGCTTATTTTTGTCATCCATTTGCATTAATTTCTTTTGTGTGTTTTGTTTTCTTTTGGAAATGTCTTCTGCTATTTTTCAGTCCAATATTGCTTTACTTCACACATGGACCAGCAAAGAACAGTCAGAAAACAGAATAGTTTACAAAATAGAATGTGGAACAAGTTGTTACTCCTATAGACGAGGTGTTTGGAAATCCTGTATTTTTGTTGAATATCCCCCATTTTAGGGTCTTGCATACTCTAATAAAGTGCATTTTTCATTTAGGTACTATGGTGCGACTCTCTGAGGACAGTCATGGTTTTGTTGAATTCTTCCATGATGGGCAGTGGTGGCGCATATGCGGCCACGAATGGGACCAGAACGATGCGTCGGTTGTTTGTCGGCAACTTGGCTACCACTCCTCCAAGAACATCTCTCCTTTGTCTGTCGAATCATCTACCCGGTCTGGAGACGGTGGTGAGGAGGACGCCCCTGCGTTGCTAGACAGGATGCGTTGTCATGGTAACGAGTCGAGTCTGGCGTTTTGCCAACACGAGGTTTTGGGCCCCAAGGTGTGTCAGACCTCCACTGCTGCGGTGGATTGCAACGGAAACATGCCACCGCGCTCCAGCGAACCAGGTAAAACATCGTACATGGTTTGGTGGGCCCTAATTCCTCTTAGCAAATCAGAAAGCTGTTTTCGGCTATTTTCATTTATCTGCGGTATCCTATCGTCTAGAGTTCGAGATGCAGTGTGCTCCTTAAATGCTTTCCAACTATGATCATTTTGGGAAGGAGTGTAGCTTTTGGTGACAACTGGCGTATGAGATGGACACATCCTGGGGCATCATTTGACACTTGGTGGCACTGTAAATGTGTCAAAAGATGCACTAGGACTTTGTTCGTATTCATATATTATGTCAATAATATACACGTGAGTACTTTTTACGTCCATTCATTGCACTGTTAGGGGACTAGTCTTCTCTTTCTTTTCTTCTTAAAATCTAATTCTTTCCCCTCTGTGTTGTTATGTTAACAGGATGAAGTTAGATTCGGCTTAATTTCTTTTTTCAAAAAACGAAAATGGAGGGATGATCCAGTGGCCAACTCCCCCAACCCTCCCCGTCAAAAAGTGAGGGGATATATCCTCCCTATTACCACGATATTTACGCTCATATTGGCTAACTGAGAGTCTTTAGTGACGCAGACTATTGACAGGCCCATATTCACCAGATATTAAGGGCATCTTCTAGGCCTCAAGTCACTGACCATGTTTTTTTCGTCCTCCAATAGTATTTCCGTACATATTTCATTGTGATATCAATCTTTGTTCTAACTAAAGACTCCTCTCGGTATTCCGGCTAACCCTTATTCCTTCTCTCCCGACTTTTTTGCGAAATCTAAGTCTTAAAGTGATTCTTCCAACTTAACTTAAAGTGCTATTGACTTTTTTAAGTTCAAGAAAGACATTGACTGAAGTGGGGTTTGAACCTGCGACCTCCGGATTGCCGTTCCGGCTCTCTTCCAAACTGAGCTATCCTACCCTATGTTGTCGGTTCACCTTTTGTTAGTGTCTTTTTTCAAGGGGCTTTAATTAAGTTTTGACTCAAATCAACCATTATTAAGCCTTTACAAATTTTCGAAGATGTCCCAGCATTGGAAACAATTTTCTGGAATTCTGTTTATACTTCATGAGTTACGTCGATACGAGGGAACTGGATTTGAATGGATGAATTGCATTGGATTTTGTCATGTTTTTAGCCAATTCCATTCGCCTTTCCGGTGGTGCGTATCCCATGGAGGGCCGCGTAGAGATCTACATAGACGGTGCCTGGGCGACTGTGTGCGGTGACCGATGGGACATGCTGGATGCTGAGGTAGTCTGCAGGCAGCTTGGTTACAGCCATGCTACCTCGGCATTGGTTGGGGCACACTTCGGCCCGGGATCCGGACCAATTGTCTTAGACGAAGTAGAATGCGTCGGTGATGAGGAAGAATTGACTGATTGTCGAGCCGAGAAGATGTATCAGCATGATTGCCAGCACAGACAGGATGCTGCCGTCAGGTGTGATAATCGTCAGGTGTCACAAGGTGTGTTTATGATGCATTGATTATGCAAAAATAATAACTGAGAGAATTATTATTACGGGGAATGGTATACCTTTATAGGGGGCATTCCCATGGTACCTTAGGAGGCATTCCCATAGGGTTGTGCACACCATTTTTCCAACTTTAATGACCCCTAACCCCAATTTCCTTTATCCCACCATTACGAATTCTGGTATTTACGTTTTGGACCATGAGCAATCGATCTAGCCAATTTGTGACCTTAACATTTTTCCTCTAAATAGGAGTTGTGACATTAGGGAGACATTGAAATATCTCCTTAATGTCCGGTGTCTCCCTGAGGTATACTTATGACGAAAAATGTCTCCTAAGGTTTCATTAACAGGAATTATAGTAACCGTTATCAATCATAGCACGTTTCTTTCGAATGTGTTAGTTTTACCATAAATTCCACATGGGGATGATAGCCTTTTATTGAAAATAACTTCATGAAAATACGTTAGCGCATCCATGCAGTTACAAGCATCTGTTGAAACAAAAAAAGGCTTCATTGATCTAAAAAGATCACTGTTAATTGGTTAAGTTTGAAATAGTAAGATTGTCCGCAGTGTTTCAACCATTTTGCTTTCATTCTTCTTGGAATAGACTACTCTATCCGATTGTCCGGGGGAGCTACTCCTAACTCGGGCCGGGTGGAGGTGCTTCTGGGTGGTTTGTGGCATACAGTTTGCGATATGGCCGGTACATGGGACATCAGGGAAGCTCGGGTCGTATGTCAGCAGCTGGGATTTCCAGGAACGTTAGCCCCGTGGTCAAAAATCATCGGCGTGTTGGACAGAGCATGGCGAAAGAGAAGCCTGGAGTCCGTGGAGTGTCTTGGGAATGAGTCTAAGATAGCACAATGCAGACATGGTGCAGTAGGAGGGATGGACTGTGGCGGATTGGAGCATGAGGCGCGGGTACTCTGTGAACCACGACCAATAGGTAAGTCAAAATGCAATACCAACTGGCTGTATTTGTTTGTTGTTTTATTGGTTTTAGAGTTTTAGAGTTTAAATAACGGCTTAGTTGAAACCATTTTTTTCAATCAATTAAACATTGAGTTAAGATGCATTATGTTTTTGTCTCATGATTGCCGGCAGGCGAGCTCCCGTATTCTCTTCGACTCGAAGGCGGAACAACCGAGAGAGAGGGAAAGGTTCGGATTCTCCAAGACGAAGACTGGCTCCCGATATGTGGAGATAACTGGGATATTGCAGACGCACGGGTGGTTTGTAAGCAGCTCGGTTACCACTACGCCAAGAGCGCCACCACCGTCCGTGAGACATTTGTGACGGGACAACGGCCGCCAACTGACAACAATCGCGCGGGATTCAAAAGAAGTTTTCCCCACGTGCGAGGCTTGTCTGGGTTTCGCTGCACGGGACATGAGGATCACTTACTTCAGTGTCATTACAGGGAGGGTCAGAAGGTTGGGTGTGGTCAGGGTGTGGTCGCGCATGTGGAGTGCAGTGATAAACCATCCATACCAGCAGGTTAGTATGCGTATAATGCTGTATCAAGATACATAATGCAAGTAAGAGGGAGTGTAAGTAGTGAAGTCAAAGAATAATCAACTGGTACCTTTTGGTGTTGGTGTTTCGTTGTTCATGTACAAAATCATACACCAACTACTGAGTATAGTGACAGCGAAGGGCTGTGGGTATGCAGCGTTACCAGTGGTGGATTCAGGGTGTTGACGTCCTCTATTTTGAAGGGGAGGTGGATGAAATGTTGCCGTCAATAGGTAGAAAGACCAATGTGCTGAAGCAGTGAATCAAGATTTGTATTATGAGTGATGACATTATTTAAGGTAGGCCCTACTTGAGGAAATGCCGGGCTTTCTCATTTGTAAATAATTATTGGTTAGTCGTGGGTTAGGATAAGTCACCGCAAACAACCCAATGGTTCCCCCTTGGTCACGTAAAGTGATAGACTCTGCGATGTAGAAGAATATGACTAAGGTGAATGTAGTGCAAAGTCATGCAGAATATTTAATTCTAAATCAATTAAACACATTTTATGATTTTTTTCCCCCGTAAATCCGACTTCATTTTGCAAAACGTAAAGGTTTTCTGTGCAATTGTCTCTGGTTAGCAGCTTTTTTATAAGATGGAATTTTTTATAAGATGGAATTTTGATTTATAGCAGCTTTTTTTCTCTACTTTTCCAATGAACAGGTGAGCGATTACGGTTGAGTGGCAACGCCGATGAGAACGAGGGCCGTGTGGAGGTCTACTTTGACGGTATGTGGTGGAAGATTTGCGGTGATGACTGGGACATACGAGACGCAAGTGTCGTCTGCCACCAGCTGGGTTACCCGTCGGCCCTTGCGGTTTACACGCTGGATGACACGCTCCCTGACGACGCTATATGTGAAAATACCTTGAGGGAGGACATTTTGGTTGAGAATGCTAACTGCGACTTGGAGTATCTGATGAGTGACTTGCAGTGCACTGGGAACGAGAGCAGCGTGGTGGACTGTCGACATGCCGGGTTTGGGCGTCAATACTGCACTCTTGACCAAGACGCGGCTGTCTTATGCGATGGAAAGCGGACCAAACTGAGTAAGCATAGGCTTCAGAAACATTAACTTAACATATACAGTAAGAAGCGTTCATACCAAAATAAATAAAATCTTTAGATTCACGGTCTACGTCTAGAAACAACAAAGCTCTAAGCAAAGCAGCAATCCATAGATGTCACGTGGTACTTACTTGATGGCAGTTGGCTAGTACCCAGGTCTAGCAGAGCATAACAGATATTAATAAGCATGACTTGTTTATTATTATTATATGTCAACAAGAATCAGTAATGGTTTGTGTAAAAACCAGTAATAACGTTTTGTTGTAAACGGAACCATCACCATGCAAAACATCTTTCTATACGAAGAACCAAATTGTACAATGGTATGTTGAAATTATGCTTAACCCTTTTTTAACACAATGTTTTCAAACATGGTGTTTCGTATTATTTGAAAACCCGAAGTCTTCGAAGCCCGATTGGGTGCTAGCGACCCTAGACAACCGTACGAGGGGCGAGTTGAGCTCCACCACGGCGGCCACTGGTGGCTGGTATGCCAGGACGGCTGGGACGAACACGATGCCACGGTGCTGTGTCATCAGCTAGGGTTTCCCGGAGCAGACACTTCTGACCTACAGCCGTCATACAAGGCTAAAGGCAGCACGGATGGCGTAAGGTTTCTCCTGGATGATGTGCAGTGTGACGGAACAGAGGATGACATAGCGGAGTGTTTACATAGCGGGGTGGGCAGAGGGAGGTGCGACAGGCAGGTAGCGGCGGGAGTCAGGTGTGCAACAGATCCACTCATGATCCAAGGTAAAACTTAGGTTGGTCTTTAATTTGACTTCAGTTCAAGAAGACAGCAATCGTCACTTTTAGAGAAAAAATGGCATAAAGTGATTTCGGGTTACATCGAAGGCACCGAACAGAAATACGCACTGATCAAAACGCGCTGTAAATTTTCCTACCGCAATTTTCAGCGACCCAACAGCAGTTCATAAACCGTTTGACTTCGCGAATACACTTTCTGTCAATTTTCAGTAAAAGTAGGCTGCAAACGCTGCATTGTGTATCAGTATATGATAAGGCGTTGGTTTTGTACAAGACCCGTTATCATCATCTCTCAGAATAAATGTGTAAATACAACAGTACAGGACCGTGCTACGATAGCCAAGAATTATTTGAAATCCAAAAAGTACATGGCTACGTCTGCTTTAAGAAGCATGCTAAATACATTGTCGTGGCATATTCACGGGCGTTTTGGTTGCAGTATACAATTTGAGTTTGAAGCAATATTCTACCATTTTGCTCTATGCATTCAGGTGAAGACATCCGTTTAATTGGTGGTGATAGCGTGCTAGAGGGCCGGGTGGAGGTCTATCATGATCATCGTTGGTGGACTGTCTGTGATGACAAATGGGACATTCTGGCGGCCGGGGTGGCGTGTCGACAACTCGGTCTGCCCTCGGCTGTGTCGGCTGTTTTCGGCGCCTACTTCGGCAAAGGACGGGCAGATACTGGTGCGTGATACACCTTAGCATTAATTATACACTATCACAATTTGTGGTGTTTGTTGGTTTGTTAGTTTGGAATTTCAAGCAATGGTTATTAACTTTAATACCGAAGTCAGTTGGTTCCTCCACAACCTGGAGATTCCCCCGTTCACGTCGATGGCTTCCCTGTTAGCTGGTAAATGTACTGACCTTTATCGCCTTAGGAAGCTACATAGGTATAGTAGGTCCTACTAAGCATTGGGCACGCTTTTTTAGGCCTTTTGTTTGCGATGCCATTACTTGAGTTTGGAATGTTTCAGATAATCTTACTGAAAATAAAATAAAAGCAGCTGTTCAGGTTGAAAACATTATCCGGCATACTTTTTCGATCAGGCATACTCTTGGACGAGGTTGACTGCAAGGGTTCGGAGGGCAATCTTCTGGAGTGTGCTCACCATGTCTTAGGAGAGCACGACTGTGATCACACACAGGATGCTGGAGTCAAATGTTCCCCTCCAACGGTACACCATCAGCTGAAGCTTCCTAAACCAGGTAAACGTAACGATGAATGTCTATGAGATATGTATGGAGATATGCAAGAAAGTCTGGGGTTAGTTTGTTTTCGTTTCTTTTCTGGCGAGAATGTGCAAACGCAGTGCCACATCGGAGTGAAGAAGCAGGGACAGTTCGTACTTCACTCGGAAGCGCGATGTGAATTTCATGGTCAACATTATTTTGGATTTGTCGTTTCCTCACATTTATAGTTCCGAAACTTTTTACAAATATTTCATCTTTAGTACGTCTTGTCGGAGGCAGCAACACTACGGAAGGCCGGGTGGAAATCTACCATAACTTTCGCTGGTGGACGGTCTACAAGACTGAGAACCAGTCAGACGATATGAATGCCGCCCTCATCGTCTGCCGCCAGCTGGATTTCACTTCAGCTCATGATGTGGTTCCTGCCAGTCAGTTCCAGGAGGCACCCAAGTATACACGACCACTGTTAGCATTGGTACAGTGCAAGGGTTCGGAGAGGAACCTGAGTCTATGCCAGCATGAGGAGCTTGGAGCCAGGGTCCAGGACTACGATCACAGCCAGGATTTGGCCATACGATGTATTGACAGTGATGGCACTTCTGGGACACCATGGATTGCCCCGACGCGACGAAAACGATCGGGTTTGTTACAAATTTACATTGGTATGTTTACAGAAGTAATGATTGCATCCCTTCTTATACAAAATCATAGAATAAAATGTTTGCGTTTTGTTTCTCAAAGGGCCAACCACACCCGTCCTTGCAGTCATCATCGCAACGGTCTTTGTGACGGGATTCCTGATTGGTAGTTTGATCCTGTATCACGTGTACAAGGCGTGTGATCGGTTTATGTCCCGCCATCCATCCATCATCAGCGGCCGCGCCGTGCAATCACCACACACAGCCGCCAATATAGACCAGCCAGAGGTTGGTAGGGAGGCCAAGGAGTCGGCTCGCAACAAGGACATGTTCATCGAGTTGTACCCACTGCCACCGGCCCCTGAATGCGAGGATTCTGATACAGAGGGTGGTGAAGACAATGAGTACAGTGACTGGAACGCCACGCCCATCAAAAGGGAACTTAATTCACCCCCGCCTCCAAATACTCCAGACATGACATATGACGGCACGCTTGTTTAGCCAATGTAGACTGATGTGGTCGTCGTACACAAATGTGTTATGAATCATTTACTAGACATTATCTATTTCGTTTCGGGAGTAATAACATTCAAGTGAGTCGACTTTAATTTTGTTTGACGAACGAGAAGTTCCTGGGGCTTGCCTACAATGCACGGTAAATGGATAACAAACTTGCGACAAGCTAGACTGATGACTTCGGAAATTTGTCAAAGCTCCAGTGCGCGCACTGCTGATTTTGGTGTTTAATTGCTTTAAAGATCATGATGATAGTATACATTTGTACTCCCACTGACAATCATCACTGCTCTATTGACATATTCGTTACATTTTATATGTTGTTATACTAGGTGCAGACAGGCAGACAGGCAGAAATGAGGCTGTTTTTCTTAACTCGAACGACAGGGTTAGAATTTTAATAAATTAATGCTGAGTTATTGAATCTTATGCACTGTACTAAAACACCTGGAAACCTACGAGAATTTGGCCAAAAGGAAGAACTTATATGGCAAACGAGAAGTTCTTAAGAAACCGACTTTTGCTGAAATATGTGCATCACGTTTGAACAAAGGGGTATTTTAACCTTGTTGGTAAGTACGTTTCAGTTTGTTTTTATATTAATGTGCGTTGTGAATATTTTTGGAAGATGGACCATCATGCATTCGGTTCCGTAATGTTTTCTTGACGATTGCAATAATTGGTAGACATAGCTAGATTACATAAAACAACTAGTACAGACTAATAAACAAAACGTGCATGGAAGGATATTTAAATGGTGTATTAATGTCCCTCAAGAATGTCTCGTTTATTTGTTTTTATTTCAGAACAAAGCTATAGTTGGATAATTGGGATTGGCCTGGTGGGGGATAATACAGGCGCAATGACAGTGTCAGTGGCGTTTGTTCTATGAATGCGTAGGTTTTGGTTGCCCGAGTATCATCCTTTCGCTGAAGCCCGCAAGCTCCGCGACAAATGCCTGATAAAATATACATCCCTCCAATGCATATTTTAAAGGTGCAGACCATAAAATAGGCCCACAATTGCTACGTCGAGGAAACCACGACTTGTAATATGCTGTCCATGTTTTCTCTTTAACAATAGAGAATTTTGTGCCTCCTGCACTTGAGGGTTGGTAGAAAGGAATGTCCCAGCTTCAAAATTGGTCTCAGAACTAGCATTCTGTGAAATTGGGGATAAATTTGGACCCAAACATTGCTCTATTTTGCAATGGAGGGATCTATTTAAAAAAAATAATAACAATGGGAATCTGGACTGCTTTGGCCCGGGGCTTCAGGAGGGAAACATTTCGAAAAGTCTTCAGTTCCCCGACCCCCTCAATATTGAACAGAAAGGGATAGACGATAACTCGGGCTTTAATTTGCTACATATCTCGATCACCTGTGAAAGTTCCGAGTATTTTGCCCCGATTTTTTGAAGTGGGGTTTGTAAACAATGTTGCCTATATGGGTATTTATTTACTGGTCTGCATCCTTAAGCAAGGCCAATCAAGCCTTAATAGAAGACACGATATGTCCGAAGCTCATTTAGGTAGCTGTCTTGCATAATAATCGCCGAAACACTTCTTTCTAAACTATATGCGAAATTTAAAAATACATAAAAAAAAAACCGTGGGCTCAACATCAGAAAATCGATCCTAAATTAATGCCGAAAATGATTTCTGCATCTTGACTTGGTTCCACGCGGCAGACACCCTAATAAATCGGGATCATTTTCTCCTCAAGCCGTAACCTCACATGACACTGCTAAGACAGATTCGCGTTTAAGACGCTTAGGCCAAAAAATATGTCTCCGGTTTCTGGTATGCGCGCGCGTTGCCGTAGCCATGCGCTTCGGCAAAATGAAAAAGCTTTTTTTTTCAATAAAAGATGATGTCTCAAAACCGCCAAACTCACTGGTTTGACTGGAATCCTGCTGCTGCACAACGTGTTTTTAGATTGAGTTATGGTCGAGAATAAGCTTTATGTGGCCTCTCTGGACTCCCATATATTTGCACTAAGTTTAGTCGGGCACCATGTGCAGTCATCAGCCGACATTTGAAGCAAAATAAAAACAGGTAAAATAAAAAAAGCCGCGTCGCCGCACCACTTTTTGGGCAAGCTCCATACCAGAAACCGGAGACTTTTTTTTTTGGCCTTACCCGAGTTTTTTTTTTTCAATCTGGTACCCGATTTCCGTACTACCTGTAAGCGGATAATTATTTTTTTGGTTTTCCATGTAGCCTGGTTTTCATCTTGAAAATTCCCCATAAATGACATTCAAAACCTTATTTCCCCCGTTGCCTGAGAAGTTACAAAGTAGTTTGTAAAGTTAATTACGGTTATTCGATTCCATAATATGGAACCGGTTCCTGACATCAGCGTGGTCGGGTACCCGGTTCTCGAACAGCCCTAATCACGACCAAATGCACAACAGTACTACACAATAACAAGTAAGCATTTGAAGACATTTATGGCAGCAGTTTGTTTAATGGAAAATTTTAATTACAAATAACATTGGAAATTTTTAACCAGATCGACAACTTTGTTATCAATTTCATGTAGTATCTACACATCTTTTTTTCACAACTTGGAAATTTCAAAAACTTTTCGAAAATATTGAAAAATACATGGACAAAAGTAATAAAAGATATATTTCTCTGTATTGCAAGTAAGTCATTTGCATGAATCAAGGTTCATCACATGAAGTAATTTAAGTAAATCTGGGCCCAAATACATGTATAGACTTCATAGCAACTTACAATTTAAGTACAAGGTAATAATTTCTCCTACGGACTATACCAACACAGGCACTGTAGGCCTACTCCTTACAAATGATAAAAGTTGAGTGTCGAAGGTCAACGTGATATTTAGCAAAGCATGGATAGTCATGCCAATGATTCAGGTCTAACAGATCCTTGTGCACTTTCATTTGTTGAAAGAATGACGTCAAAATGTGTAGACACCAAACATTCTCACATTTTGAATCAATAACATTGCTCATGTTCCATTCCCAAAACACACATCAGGTAAACATAAATGGACATTATAACCAAGTTTAAAAAGCAAACTCCATTGCTTATGAACTTTGGAATAAATGTTGCTGTCAATGGTAAGGACTGTCCTTTCTTGACTCCTTACTAATAAATGAAAACCACTGGGCGGAAGGCACAAGACGGAAGTTTGCTAATTCTTTCTGGATTTGTTTTTCTTTCTGCATGAATTGGAGGCTAATATTTAAATCTGTAACTTTGTGTGTATTTACCTCTCAAATTTTGATTTCTGGAAACCCTGAATATTTCAGGCAAGGCTTGTTCTCCCGCTAGCAACACCTCTGCAACGTGGCTAAAGCCTATAGTCACATAACGGATACATGCCTCTCACTGACTGACTGTTCATCGCTCAGGATATCACTACATGTACATCGCTCATTGACATCGCTACTGGTTCCATTATAATTACAGTTGTACATAGAACAGTAGATGATTTCCAGCATATTGCATTGAGAACCCTTACATTCACCAATACATTTTAATTACAGACCTTACTAAGGCACTTGGATGTTGGATTTTCAGAAGGCTCTCTCTGTCCCAAAAGCATGACATGGTACTGTATATTAACACTCTACCAATGCACGTTATTTGGCAAAACACAACTTTGAATTTCTGTCATGTTTTTGAAGGCATCTGCAGGTAGAAGAACATGTAGATAAGGCACACCACTCCACACACAGCAAGCACGACAAGCATGAAATCCTGCAGCATAAATAAACACCATGCACATGCTGGATTAAGATTAGATGCCAGGAAATTATTACACAATAAATATCTTTGCTATTCTAGCTGACCAGCAGAATAAACCATATACATACATTTAACAGGCATGCAACTTTTTCTCGGATCTGCTGATTTCCTTGTTTTTTACTTCTCATAAATCCCATTGCAAATTGAAAAAAAAAATGTACAAAGTCTTGTGTATTTTGGAATTTCCTCGTTTTTTTTCTTCTAAATTCCCAGTTGCACACCATTTTTCCCCTAAATTCTTAGTTGCATGCCTGATTATAGGCATATGGATATTTTTTTTGAAAATCGTTCCAACTAACCCCACTGTCTCCTAAATTATTCTGTCCATTTTTTTCTTGGATGCAAATATCAAGTTGGCATTAATTTGAAAGATAAACATTGATGTCCATGCAGCAATGAAGACTGAACATGGGCATCAACAGTTGCTTAGAGCCCAGACAGGGCTCTGGAGTGCTCTGAAACGTGCAAAACTAAACCAGGCCCACTTTACTCACAGTTTAGCCAGCAAATTTCTCCAAAAATTCCACTGGGGCAAAGAACATGTCCTCAGTATTTCACCAACCAAGTTTGCAGACTCAATTCCATTTTTAAAGGAGACTTTTCTTCAATATTTTGCACATGAGAGGGAAGTCAAGTGATTTCAAAATGGAGCTAAAGACTAGACTGGTACATGTCCAACCATGGTCCAACTATTTGAAAAGACTGACCTCTTCATTTAGTGTCAATAGTCTGGTGGCTTGACAATGGAGAAATGTGTAGTAAATTGAGACTAGTTCCCGCTTCATGCCACACGTTTCTTAAATTCTGTTGGCATGGTTGATTGATGAAGTACTGAAGCTGTGTTGGACTGGTTGTTTTAGGTGCCAGTCTATTTTCTTGTTTTGCATGTTTTCAATAGCTTAAGTTTTGGGACCCTCATACACAGTATTGAGAGTCCCAAATTTTCGGACTACATCGAGCCTTACGGTTACCTGGAAGCCAGTGCTAGTCTTCCTGAGGTCTGCCTCTCGCTTGGACTTGATCAGATCTTTCTTGCTCCTCTTATAGTCCTGCTTCCCGATGTTTTTACGATACTGATCTACTGGTAGCTGACATCTCTGTGCATCTTTCTTGCCCATGGTGACCAAGACCTGTGAGAAATTAGGGTTTGAGTACTGTATTGCTGAAACATTTTGACTACATGTAGCTTACAAGAAAATAAATCAAACCCTAGAAACTCATCCAACATCAACAGGTAGGTAACACTTGAGTGTGTGATTGTCTGCATGCACAACCCTCACAATGTGGGGTAATAATCATTATTTATTAAAGGGAATGTACAGCATTTGCTTTTACTACAATTTTCAGAAATAAATGGATTTGGAGGATTAGTCTGATATAGCATGTATAGCAAATATTGTTAAACTGACAAGATGCTGGAAAAACAAGAAAACCAATCATGTTATTGTAGTCTGGTTCCCTGACCCCACTTAAGATGAAACAGGGAAATACATAGACTTTGTTTGGGGTATTGTAAGGTCAGAAAATCAGTCTGGCACAGTGGCAGGATTGTACCCCTTCACAGGTGTGTAACCAATTGCAAAGAAAATGCGGAACAACTGTTATGACATATTCGGAGCGCTTTTTGAAAAAAGCCAGTTTCTCCAACGCTGGTCAGTCGACCAGCGTTGGAAAAATACAAATTTTCTTCAAAATGACAGCACACCAGGAGCCACGATTTTACAGGATGCTCTACCCTGTCATTCCCTAACAATGCCAGTGAGGTATTTTGTGATAATTTGATCATTTCGGGTTTTTTGATGTTTGCAAATGTTGTAACTTGTATCTTCCCTTTAACTAAGTATAAAAGCAGGTACTGGTTGGAGCATTCAACCACTCTAACATGACTAAGTCAGCAGCTTACAATGGTCGCCACAAAAATAGTAACTAACATGACTAACTTGAAAAGGACGATTCCAAAACAAAAATTTTAGTCCGACAATAACACACGATTCCAGCTAGCCACATAACCTTTTCACTTTTTTTTCCGTTCGCAACACAGTTTCTTACCTGACACTACTAGACAACACGAACAGACATATTTTGCTCAAAACATGCTAAAAAAGAAGACTTGAAAGTAAATCAGTGTCAGTGACATGGGATGTATCGACAGCACTTAATCCGTAATCGATAATTCGTCCACGTCAAACGTTCATACAAATTGCGCCCTCAAGAGTCAGAATTGAAAACTGCGCGAACGTTAAATACAGGATTCGCTTGTACAGGGTGGTGGGTACGAGCGAAAATACAGGATTGCTCCGACCATTTTCAAATTACGTATGCGGTTTCAGTTCGGCTCCGCCTTTAACTTAAAAACCATAGAAACGCCTATCAAGTGTCCAACCCCCCCCCCCCCCGGCCCCGGCTGCCCGCACCGAAGACGTGGAGATTGTCACATTTGAATTGAAAAATCCCGCCTCTGGCAAAATTTTGAGCACGGCTTGCTGCCGCCATCGCTATCGATCGACCAATCAGGATCGATGATTCAAGTTTACTTGAAAATAATCTCCGATATACATTCGTGGAGCACACTTTTCATGTTGTAGAACGCCAATGGTAACATAAACAATGTTTCTGAGTGACCAAAATTCCCACCCTCGGGGCCAGGGGCATGAAAAACGTGACCAGACCCCGACATCGGACCGTGGCAGCCGGGGGGGGGGGGGGGGGCACTCATAGGCGCATTGGAGTTGTTGCACAGTGGCGGATCTCGAATGGGGCTTGCCACCGCCATTCAGCCGCTGACTACATTGTATATTATTTGATCCCATGCCATGGAGCTATGATGATACTAATAAAATGGGGCCAAATATAATGTAATGCTAATGTACTAATTTGATTTAAAAATTGCCACTGATGCACGAGATGTCGAGATCGAGCAAGTATCGAAGATTTTTTTGTTTTTAAATGCCGGGTAAGCACGCGGGAGCAATTTTCCGCATGGGGTGTACGCTATGACGTTTTGTACTTAACTTCTCTTAAAAACATAAGAAAAAATATAAAATTAGAACTAGAAGAAAAAAACATGAATTCGAACGTAGTGATATTCGGACTTTATTTCCTTTAAAAATAAATCCTCCAAATCTTCAGATTAGAGAAGAAAACAAATTCAGGTAAAAATTGCTATTTGAACCCTAACCGTGATGATCCCTCCGGTACAAAACACGATCCTATCCAATTGACCTATCGAAATGCTCGGCAAATAGAGGGCGCTCAACAACCATAATGCGCATGTTGTTTGGGAAACAACATCTATGGGGATCAGGGGTTGGGGAAAATTTGAACCCTTCCCACAAACACATATTTTGTACTACAAAGTGGGGTCACAACCTTCTTGAATCTTTAGAATATGCTCTAGAACTGAATATTTTCTTCATCGTTATCTTTCGAGAATCACTGGTTTCTTTAAAATAAAAAAAACTGAAATACAATTTCATCCTCATCCAAAAAGAAATTCGTCCAACCCATCATACAAAACCCAATTTGGGCATTCAATGCACACAATGCCGACTATATAACGGGATTAATTAACATTAAACAAATGGGTAAATGATTTATTATTTAATTCTGTTCTGGTAAAACAAAGCAATTATCAAAAGTGAACAAATCGACGATTAATACATACACAATAGAATATTGTTAAAAAGGCCTTTTTTCTGTACAAAAAGCCTACACACCAACACATTTCGAAGTTTACTTTGATACATGCACTGACAAGGGTCGTCAAGAATACAATGCGACGATGCACCGAGCTAACAATGCGAGTGCGGCGCAGGTTGAATAGAAAGTTCTTCATTATAAACATGCTTTATTTTATTCACTTAACTTTGTAAAAAAAAGTGTTATAAAGCTGTACACAATGCCATAAGCAGTACTACAGACCAGTGTCGTTCAAGGGCGGATCCAGGGGGGGGGGGCAACGGGGGCCATGACCCCCTAACCCCCTCCCGCAAAACAAAAAAAACACGGTTTTTTTTAAGTGGCGTCGCAATAAAGGCAGGCACTGCGTACGCGTACACCACCATCTTTTCTTCCAAAGGATTTGGTTAAAGTAGTCAGAAATAGCCTCAGATCGTATCACAGAGCATCTAGAATGCAATTTTTTTCGGGGCCCTTAAGAGTCGGCCCCGAACCCCACGCCGTCACTTTTGGGACCCACTTTTTGGGGGACCAAATATTTTTTTTTGTTCGGCATCCGCCCTTGCAGTCGTTCACACGGGAATTACCACAAAATCTATGTACATTTTGCACAGACGTTTTTGTTTTTAGCGAGGTTTTACGACCTGTATTTAATATGAGTTGAGCAACTAGGATATGTGTTTTTTTTGTTATAAAAGTTTAAACTACTAGGCCCTAAAGACAATTAACAAAACGTAAACGGAAGTAAACATTTACGCGCTTAGTATATAGTTTAAGCAATAAGTACGAAAAGAATATTTTAAAATACTGAGATTTTGGCAACATGATAATGCGCTTGAAATTTAGGAATTTTGTATCCCTGTATATTTGTCATGCTAGCAAAAGCGAGTCACAATGCAATTATCATTGCTCTGTTCTGGATTCAGAATTTCACGATTTCTGCTCAGTGCAATAATGGTCGTCCATTCTACAGACACCATACGCAAGCAGTTCAAGCGCAGCTAAAATGTTTATATCTTCATGCTTGCAGCGCCATGGTTGTGAAATAGTTGGCAACGATTACGCAATTTACTTCATAGTTAAGTTCGCACTTTTTGCAAGCCAAATGACAGCTCAATTTTAATAGCCAGGTTTGTTTCTGTATTGCACTGATGGCGATATGTAATGCTAGGTTCACACATTCACGATTTTTAAGCCGAATCGCCACGAATAGCAATTCTTGAGTAGATCGGGGATGGTTCTTGGCTGCCTCGGGAAGATTCTGTTTGTTCGGTGAAAGATCGTTAAAGATCGGGAAGCGGCCCGATAAATTTGAACATGTTCAAAATTGTCGGGGTGATTCGAGAACCAAATCACCAATTCTTGTTGTATTTACAACTAATTCTGGAATGTGTGAACCTAGCATTAGAGGGCATAGACCGCTGGTTAGATTCAGTCACAAGGCTGTATGAATGCACTGGTCCAGTTTCTCCTTAAACAACTCCTGGACGACTACCTGCAGCAAAATAATATCTTTCATGAAGTGGTTACAATTTAAATTTTAGGTTTTTTTTCTGTATCCCTCTGCGTTACCTTCCCGAAACGTCTCTTTTTGTTTGTCGGTTTAGTGCACAAGACCCAATCAACACACCCTTCCCGTCAAAATATCAGACGATAAATGAGCATTGCGTGATTGGCGTTGGTTAATACGAATACAGGCAAACTGTTTGTAGCCATCTAAGATCTTTCTAATTTGATTCATTGACAATGAATCCACAAAACGTCTACTCATACACATCCCAGTGGAACATCACTGCATCTGCTGTGGAGAAATCCACAGTAGTCTGTTATTCATGAATTGATAGACCAACTTCCAATACAAATTGATAAGTCGAGTAAAACTTAAGACATAGTCTCTTGAAAACTCTATATGGCATGGGTTTTCATATACATGATTCCTTGATTAACGGATTTTCCTAAGAAAAGATAATATTATGCCTAATCCTTGAACTCCTTTCATAACTTCAGTTCGGCAGAGGTACAGATGACAGGCCGTTGCAGTTGGTCGACTAGCTTAGCTTTGGCTGTGAAGTGACCCTGCGGGAAGAAACAGGCAAAGCACAATTAATACCACACTACTTTTTACAGCAGCCCATCTCACTCGCGGTAGCTTTTAAGAGTTATCTAATGTTTGAGTTTGACACTTATGTTCAACTTATTTTAGTTTTTGGTATATACAGCCCTCTGTTACATGGAGCAGACCGATCAGCTACGTCTGTACAGTTTGATACCAGTCGACACATCGGTAACATCAGATAGTCTACCAGATGCTCTCGTGTCTTTCATATACCAACATTCAGTCGTGATATACGAGACAATACTAGCTATAATGGTAAAGCTTGAAACAGCGATTATACCACAAATCAGAAAGCTTGGGGAGATTGATTGTCGACACAACCAATTCGGCAAATTCAATGAACTGCATGCATGCAGCGTGTCAACTGCTATAACAAAAAAATCCTATGCAACTAATGCGATGTTCAATTTAAAGATGTACTGCGCGGGCTATTTTCCAGTTTAACTTCGAAACATGGATTTGGTTTTTGAATTGCTGTTTTTCAAGCCGAACAACAGTTATTCACTTATGAATAAAGTCATGGACTAAAAATCGGCCATGAAATTCATGAAATGACAGTTATACATGTAGGCTACAAGTTTCGAATTATCTGCGGCCCGACAATAATGCAGTTCTCGCAGGCTAGACTGGTTCGCGCTTCCCTATCAGCACGGCGGATGTGTTTGTGCGAAATGCAAGCAATGATAGGGTTGCATGCTCTCAAAATAGATTTTAAAATATCGAACATTCAACCTATCGAAAATAATATGCATGTACAAAAATATAGAACTTACACTTGGAACGAAAAATGGAATGTGCAGCTCTTTTGTGTAGTACTTAGGTCCTGAAAAGAAATCGTAAGTATAGAATTATACCTGGAAATCTTAAAGAAGCTTGATAGCTAAAGTTGAACATTACACGTTGATGATTGGTGTTCATACGCACGTTCATACAATAAACTAGACATGTTCGCAAAGTGTTGTAAAAAACACTTACAATCGAACACGAGTTATAGCTAAAATAATTATGTCTGTCAATTACAAATTGGTGAATGGTCAGGACATATTATAACTTCTTTACCTTTTTCAATCCAAGTGTAGGCCTAATTATGTAATAATTGTAATATCATAGCTTTTCCCGGCCAATTTACTATAGAAATATAAAAGGAATTCTAAAGAAATACAAAAGGAACGATAGGGATCGTCTTTTTAAATATTAAATGAAAAAACAGCAAATGTTTCCCCGACAACTTTAGGCTGCACCCCGATGACCAGGCGCTGAAACCCATCAAGTCCCTCTATCATTCTTTGATCACAGTTTTCTAGTTAATTCTCTCGATTATGAATCACTTTTCGTGAGCAAAGTGAACCCAAATTGGAGACAATAGGAGGCCGCTATTTGCTTTTGGTTAACTCATTTCATGGGCGTCGCCAGGTTTTTTTTCGGGGGGGGGGAGGCAAAGCACATTTCCCTCCCAAAAAATCCTTGTAGTTTCGCTAGCATATTCTCAATTTATCTTCTTCTTTTCGAGGATGGGCGGGGGAGCGGGGGGACATTTGTCCACCCCACCCGACGCCCATTTTGTTAAATGTGTATAAAATTAATAGCAAATATGACTTCACACTTCTTTTTGCGTTTTCTTTCCTTTTCTCTTGTTTTTGGGGGGTTGCTTTTCCAGGTGAGGTGGGGTGGAGGGGGGCCAAGCGCCCCTTGCCCCCCCCCCCCTTGCAACGCCCATGAATCATTTGTTGTTACCCAAATTAGGCTACCCAACCCTAATACCGCCATCAAACTGTGTGTCCGCCGGTTTTTTTTTTTAAATGACGACATGATGTTTGTCTATACCGACCTGCCGCCATAGGACAGTCAAAGAAGTTATCTCGTTCTTCTCCTGGTTCAAGCTCGTCGTCGTCAAACAGCGTACAGATGTCCATTGTATTGTCGTAGAACGACATGTCCCCGTACATGACATTGGCGAAAATCTGACCAGATTCAACTTGCTCATCTAAGGGGGAAAAAGATATTAATCGAGGAGGAAATCTTTTTTGGCTCAGGAGCGAATAGAACTTGACTCTGCTGTATACATTTGTCATGATTTTCGCTGAGCAGAGACAATTTGTAAAACTTGCATTTGAACCTAAGAAGTCCGTATACTCTTCATCTGAGCTGGTCATTCAGTGGAATCGTTTGGGGGAAAAAAGATGTGGTTAAGGAAGGGACAATGTTTCTCCCTGGGGAGGGAAAAAATAAGATGGTTCGGTAACTCTGCAGATTTTCGCTATATAGCTAAAACAAAATCTTGAATCTGAGATCTAGATAGAGGTAGGCCTATACTTGTGCTAAACCATGCAAACTTCCTAGCCCTAGACAACCAAAAGAGATCATTTATAAAGTCAATGTTAGTGATAGTGCGGTTCCAAACCCAACGATATCCCACTTTTGTCATTGACTTAATATGATAAGAAAGCCTGTGAGAAACGGGGATCTGAACAAATTTATTATGAGATTGATATCCAGTTTTGTTAAAAATCAAATGACAATATTGAAATAAGGGCACTCATATAGGAAAAGTAGTTGGATTTGAATCCAATTTTAGTTATATATTTGCATAACTATTTTTCAACACTGACTGCAAACATCTAGTCAGATTGACTGATTTTCAGTTGCACCCATCTGACCTTGAATGGCTAGTCAAAATTAAGTGGTTTCTACTCAAATCCGACTCATTTTTTTTAGAGTGATCAGTGACTCGGGTTGGCATTTTTCAGCGTTGAAGACGCTAAACGTTTCGAGCGGAGACTACACACAATCGACATTGTTTAGTCTACATACCACACACTCGGCCAGTATAATGTGTAGCCGCCGCTCAAGTCGCAAATAAAACCATGAAATGACGACATTTAACCCCAATGCACGAAGTTGAAGCGAAATGAAAGTGCTGAATAAAAACAGGTCAAGGTACCGAGGGCAACAAACTATCGAAACGAACAATGCATTATGTTTACGTGCTTTTACTGAACCAGGAAAGAATTGCACTATACCCACGTCCTACTGCTAGAGTCAATGTTAAACATATTATTGATTTCCTTTCCACACGTTTCCCAGATACTATGTCAGGGCCGCTCTGAGAAATCCCTGACAGTATTGAGCTTAATTGTTTTATAGGCCCGAACTTGTGTTTGCAATTCAACATCAGCCCACTTTGCTGGTCAGAAACGCACACAACATACAGCCATTATCGAAAGACAATCATATCTAATTGATAAGAAAACAATACTCAATGTAATACAACCCCATGGAGAAGCATTGTATTCATTATTTCTAGTGCCCAAACCATGGACTTATCATGTCTAGTCGGTGTATATCTTAAGCAAGGGACGTAGTCCTATAGTGTATTTCTCCGGGAACTATAAAGCTGATTGCAAAAAAACATCAATCTCGGACTGAAACAAGACAGCTTGTTTGAAGCACTATGATACCGAAATTGTAATCGTATACCCAGGCTATCAGGGTATGATAGATCTGAGAGTGTTTGAGAATTTTCTTCTTTTTCTGGTAAATGCAGGGGCTCGAAATCATTGAATTTCAATATTTCATATTTATAAAGATAAGTTATAGAAATTTGACTCTTCGGAATTTTTACGGAAAAAAGAAGTGATTTTCGATCCTCTGTGTTATTATTCTTAAGTTTTTTTGTTAAGGAATAGCTATCGTGATTGTTATTCTCAACACTAAAATTAAAACGTTTAATATCTAATCCCCATATTGTTAAATCACGACAATATGGGCGTCATCACACACGTTGAATGAGACGAGTATTTTTTATTACCGAATGTTGAATTCATAACGATGACCACCTTCAACCCTCCTCTGTCCTCGTCTTTCATCAAAAGTAACTTGCCGATCTCGGGAGGTTCAGGGTCGTCTGCAAATTGACCAAACAGTACAATTCAAATGTATATTGTATGGGTCATGAGAATGGATTCGTAATACAAGCGTCGAATTCATACAATCACGTGAATGTTGCTTCATGAGGGAGTTTAGTACCTTAATTTACCAATTTTTGTTGATTTTGCATCCAGTAATCATATTTCCAACCCACATTTAAACGAGCAATTCTGCCAAAAACGGTCGGTCCAAACTTTCACATGCCAAATATGTTCCAAGTAGAATACCCCAAATACGCAAAACAACCAGACGTTGCACTTCATCTCAGTGCCGTACATAAGTAGGAACGTTTGACATCTGAACAATAATAATAATGGTCTTTCCTTGACCCTTACCGTATCTTTTTATAGGCCTATTGAATCCCTGAAAATTAGGCTCCGACTTGGTGCGGCGCCAAACTGCATGCACGGGTATAGATATCACAGTTGCAATGCTTTTATTCGTGTTCATTGTCAATTTTTCAATTTGCATACAAAGTACATATGAAGGTATTTAATACAGAGAAAACAAACATGAATGGAACAGAGTGTGTATCCACAAATTTAGGGTCAAACTTATCCCTATATGAAGTCTATAAATAATTCCAGCGGATGGTGACAGCCGTGTAACTAAACTGTCGCGATGATAAGAACTATACAATAGCTACAGTTCGATGACTTCGTTTTGTGACGCTTAATACTTGACTATTGATCTCTGCATTATTATTGTACACATGCGAATGAAAGCATACAAACATTGCCCAGCTATGTCAGGTGATGATATTGTCATGTTTTTTTTTCAACAGTCTCAAAATCTTGTGCCAGTTTTATTCACAATGTACATTGTCAGGAAAACAGCCAATACTGAGGCGAATGCCTATGGGTTTAGGACATTTGCCTCAAACTTACCGCAATATCCCCAAATGGTTCCTACACCCACGAGATCATTGTCCTTCACCCACTTATCCCAATCGAACCTGGGATAGTCATAATGCGAGATGACTTTTGATCCACCATCTACCCCTGGCTTTGTATCTGCACCTCCCTCCTCTCCTGTCTTGGCGATTTCTTTGACTTCATCTTTGGCGTCTTCTTTGACTTCGCCAGAGTTTTCAGATGTCTTAGTTTTCTTGGCAGATATCTGAGGATCTTGTTTGTTCTGAGGTTTCTCCTCTTGTTTATTTTTATCAAAAGCCTCAGTGTCATTAATTAAGTTAAAGAAAACCGACTCTGTCGTATTGTTTTCATGAAGATCATTTTCCAAGGAGGGTGCTTTACTCGGCACCTCGTCTTTATGTTGAGTGCCCTGGTCCCTCAGAATTTTCTCCTTGGCTGTGTCATCTTTTTGGGAGAGGATTTGCCTGGAGCCATCAGCGGGGTTGGACTTCGGAGGTCCAAAGTCATCCGAGAATTTGGGTGGTCGCATCTTTTGAGCGGAGTTATGGGCGTTGGCCTCTAGCGTAATGGCTGCTGGAGGATGGTTGAAGAAAGTCAGGTAGACACCCATCACTGCCGCCATGGCTAATATGCCAGTGATGCAGCCACGTTTAAATGTCATTCTCATCGTCTAGAGACAGTCGTCAGGAAGAGATCAGGGTCGGATATTCAAGGTGCAAGAGGGCTATCAGGAGCCCAGAGAACATGTAGCTGCATGAAAAAAAACAAAGCGAATGCAATCTAAACCTTAAGTTTGGTCCGATGAATCGCATGGTTCGTACTACTAAAATTACTAATACAGGGGCAAAGCTATCATGAAACTCAAATACATATTTTCTGCAGTGCAGATCCAATTCCCACTAAGGTTGCTTTTGTGCCACCGAAGAGTTGGGGATCTAGGATCACTTTTTCGGGGGTACCAACACTCATTTTTATATTATTCTTAATGTTGGCAACGAATTCATGCATGAATTAATCTGTTCTAATAGGTCAAAGCAGATGCTGGCCAAGTCTAGCAAAGTTTTTTTGTCACACTATGATGCTCTCTTTTAATTTTTAGCAAAGTTCTGGTTCTAATTATCAGGCAAAATCACCTGTGACAATACCCATAAGAAAGAAATGATACTCACCAGTACTACGCATGCAATCGGGCATGTCTTATTTACTGAACGTCAAGATGAACGACCGTTGTGGTATCCAGGTGGAACACAATTCTAGAACTTAACCTATCGTCAGAGTACGTGTGCCAGGGATAACGTATGGGCCAAGTTGCAACCCAGGAAATTCTGCACCCCTACAGTGTCAGCACTTCTGTATCCGTGGCCCTTTGTCTCAACACTGCACTCAAACTGCAATGTCAATCAGACATCAATAATCGTCTTTTGATCTTTTTGCACTGTGCATTGATAAGGAGAAAACAGCTGATCCTGTCAGGTCTGCGCGTACAGTCCAAATTCCGACTCCTGCTTCTAGCGATTTCGAAATATTTTGGCAGGACGGCATACGAACAGAAAAGATTATTTTACTTGGATGTCGCAATTCATTATGTTTTTATAGTACAGGAATATTGACCCAATTTGTGCCCGAGGTACATGTATAGTGTTTCGAGCGTCGTTGAAGTCAGCCTCTGCTATTGTGCGTACGTACGGGTTACGGGTATTATTGCACGTGCATTGTGTGTTGTTTTCCTCGGGCTGCCAACATTGTATGTAAATTTTTCAGGGGGGTCGTTCCACGAAGTTCGGCCAGCGAATTGAAGTGCTAGGTTACCGTGATAACAAAAATGACCAGCATGCTGGCTAGAGGTGCTTTCAAGACAATCTTGTCAAACAAAAGCCGTGTTTATGATGGATATGATAACCATTTCAAGACCTTCATTGATGTCACGGTTACAGTTAATAGTATCAAGCAGTTACAATCCTGGCTTGAAAATACATGTTCATATCAGGAGCTATTTATACGTAACGGGGTATTTTTTTCCGGTCGATGAACTATCAAGATCATCGCGTACAAAATCCAATTCAGTGTTATTTATGTTAGTGTTTCGTCATTCAAACGGGAGGGATGATTTATCTTCAAAATATCCGGTATCACGAGAATATTGCGGGGAACTAAATTAAATTGATTAAGGGGCACGAAAATGTATTCCAAAACATGTTTTGTGCAAAAAAAAAATTCAAGGCTCCGATTTGCATGAACAAAATGGACTCTTGTTAAACTTTTCTTTATTTTGTAATGTCGGTTCTAAATCTTTCAGAATCATAGAATACTTTTTCGGTGACATCGATTTTACAGCTCAATCTTGTTTGATTATTGATTGCAACGAAAAACAATAAAAGCGAACTGTCCTTGGCTAAAATCAAAATTTGTCAAACACATACACATACTCCTGCAGCTTCGAGACACTGAACGTTAAAGCAAATGGGATACAGAGGTTTACAATTTTTAAGAAATCATTTTAATGACCTTCTTCTTAAATTGGTCCTTAATCCTTATGAGAATAATTAAAGTACATGTACACTGAACTTTACATCTCAGCCTTGATCAGCCTCTCCCCCGCCAACCTATAGTTAGAATCCGGGTTTGCTCAAGGTACTTTTTAATGCAGACTTATTTTAAAACACGTATTCCATGCTCTTCAACAAATTTGATTTTTTTTTACCCATACAATTTTTCAAAATGTTATTTTAATGAGAAAAAAAAACACAACCCACTTTTGTCTGCGTTTTTGGGCATCTGAAACCACCTGAAAAAAAGGCCTGGTCGGCAAGTAGACTGGTTCCCAGTTCCAATAATATCCATTTTTTAAGGGGTCAAAAAAGTGTCCCCTGTGTAAAGTGATTTAGCCTTTTAATACATTTTTTTATAAAGAAATATTCTGTCAGTTGAGACTCATAGTAAGATGGACTCATAGTAAGATTGTACATCTTTTTTTTTCTGATACATTTGTATGATACATAAAACTTACAAAAGAAATGGTATACACGTGCATGTTAACATAATTTACATTACATGTACATACATACATGTAGACTGAAATGATATCATTCCTTAAGACAAAGTTGTTCACCTCATGTTTTTCAGATTGATATAATTTTTCTGCGTAAATCAAATTAGTTAATTGATGTATAATGCGCCATGAGCATTTCACCTGGCGGATACCGGCGCTACATGTTAGTTATTGTTATTACATGTTGGCATTTCTTACATTAGATAGTGGCATATTACCTCACATATCAACATTTTTTGGCTAAACAATACATTACTATCAAGCAGGCCTGTGCCATTGTACACATTTTTCTTTAACATATCCATGTACTGCCAACAGATGGACACATACATTGTATATGAATATCTAACCTCTATCTACACAACTGTATTATGTTTTATAGAATGCCATGTTTTGATATCTTCAGTGGCCTTTCTTTGGGACATATGTGATGATAGGTTTCGGACGAGTCCTAAAAACAATTTTTCGCTTGATGGCTGCAGATACTTTGTAGTGAATTCCCTCCGAGCTTCCATCCTCCTCTTCATCCGTGGTTGCCTTAGTGACTACATCTTCATCTTGGTCTGTTTCCATGGATACACTTTTGTTCAGATGTTCGGCCTCCTTAGGAGTGGGTTTGGTGTTTTTCAGAAGAACAATGTAAGGCTTATCAAGGGAAGTCACCTTGCCAAACAAAATGTGATGTCCAATGATCATGATTGGCACGCCCTGAAGAAAACAAGTTTGAAGTTGAACTATTTCCTTAAGGTAAAATGAACATTTAGCAACCTAAACAATATCAATCCATTTGATATTTTGAATAGTGCAATAATATTCTTTGTCATAATAGTAAAGCTGTCCACTTGCACTGCTAAATTTGTTTTGTCCTCAGCTATGCTCATAAAACTATACATCAGCAAATCTAGAAATTTAGTGATAGCGCTACAATATCATAATGACATGCAAGGTTTTTTTTCAAAAGTGACGGTTGGAGTTCATCACTAGAAAAGGGCAAGACACATGCTTTGTTGGTATCTCATGAATCTCTTTGCAATACATTCCTGAATTTGTTGTTGAAGAATTTAACATGAACAAAGTTGAGGCAAGAGGCATTGCAGGCCAGTTCCCTAATCCAAGAGGGGGGGGGGGGTGTAACTTCAAATCCCAAAGTGGAACTTTCAATATGCGAGCATGGAGCCCATAGTTAAGGTGTGGGGTCGGAAATTTTTGGATTCGAGATGCTGGTGCAATCTGAGGCATTTCCTGGCCACATGGCACTTTCCCCTGACTTTTTGAATCAAAGTGCTTTTGACTTGAAGGCGAGATTTTTAGGGAATGGGGGTGGGCATACTTTTTGGGGGCAATTTGTTTTCTTTCAAACCCCTGATTACCCCCCCCCCCCCCCCCCCCCCCGGCATACGGGCCTGGATTGGAAGGTGACATGTCATCAGTAGATGACTACACGTACCTTCTTGTTGAAATGAAGATCTCCAATAAAGTTTCCTGCCAGTTGTTCATCGCCAGGGCATTCCAACTGTCCCTGCATCTCAATCAACATCCATTCTGGAATACTACTGTCCGGGCTGGCCCTTGCAAATAAATTATATGTTTTTATTTAAAATTGAAGTTCATTCGACAACTTAAAAATGCAGTGGTGTTAATTGTTCAGTAATATTGTCATTGGGCAGAAATCATCTTTCAGTATATGGTATGTGGTGTCTAACAATGCAATTTTTATGTGTCGAATCAAGCACAATGAATGAGCCCATCATTTTTTCTCTTCTCACTTTTCCATCCACTGTATTGAAAATGAAATATAATTAGGGCCTATGTTCCGATGACCTCTGGAATTCTACTTCCAGAGCAGTAAGGTATTACAAACCTTACAGATTTTAACAAACCTTACAGAAAAGCCTCGCCCCACTTGTGTGGCCTGTATTGCTGCGCTGTACGTTAGGCCACACATCTGGTTTCCCAATCTACTGAAGAGTTTAGTCCGAAACTTGCACATGAGGACTCCAGAAAGATGTCTAAATTGCTATAAAAATTTGAAGAAAGATTACCTTATCTACCCGGAGGGCAAAAGATAAGGCATCATAGAATACAACCCTATGCAGTGGTATCATCCTACCTCCATGGTGGTATGTAAAAAAAAATGCCCAAAAAAGGTGCGCCAGGCTTTGGACTAAACTAAACTCCTGGAAACCCGGCGTGTGGCCGAACGTACAGCGCAGCAATACCGACATGACCGAGGCCAACCAAGTGGGGCTGAGAAAAGCCTAACTTGTTTTTATTTTTTTTATTTTAATAATAATATTGAACATTGAAATTACTAGTGTAGTGACTAGTTAGACCCGTGCTCGTGGCGTGTAAACAACGTTCACGTGTCTAGAGTGGGAATGCTACTGGGGACAACTGGACAATTAATTACGAATCAAGTTTCAATCTGCTGATCTAGACATTGCGTACTTACGATTTTACTACCAATTGAACCATCCTCGTAGTGACATATGCATATGCTTCCCATGAACAAAAAGCTTGTCAAATATAGTAGGCTAATTAATGTCCCATTACATTTTAAAGGTAAATTGACGGGGCCAACATATCTGAAACACGGACTTTTCGCGCGAAAGTTTGTTTTGTTGATAGCGCCACCAAGTGGTTCGAAAGTGCCATGTTGGCCTATCTCAAAGAAACGAAATACTTCATTGGACGAATATTGACAAATTCCATCCGTTCAACCATTCAGAGGACACATTAGCTGCCAGTAGAGCATAGCACATGCACCATTCGCACGTGTTGTAAACGGACATGAAAAAGGTAACGTTTTATTAATTTTTTTATTGAAACAACCATTATAATATTATAAGATATCTAGGTTTTAAAAACGGTGATTGTAAAGTTTACGGAATACGGGACCCTCTTTCGTTGGAGTCCTAGTTTAGACTAGACCCGTGAACGTGGCGTAGTTTACAAGCCACGTTCACGGGTCTAAGTTTAGACTAGCTTGAAATTAGGCTCATTTGATAGGCCGGAAAGGGGTGTCGGACGCTTCGCCCCATTTCCACGTCGCCCCATGTCACTTCGCCCCTAACCACTTCGCCCCATCCCCACTTCGCCCCATCCCCACATCGCCCCATCCCCGCTTCGCCCCATTCCCACTTCGCCCCATCCCCACTTCGCCCCATGTACAATGTAGATTGGTTCCTCCAAGAGTGAAATTAGGATGTCAAAGGTATTGTCGTTCTCAGATAAGTGGGAGACGGGTTGGTATAGCCGGGTCTTTTAGGCCAAAAAAAAAATATTCGGTGTCTGGTCGGACCAAAGTTCCGGAATTGACGCGGCCACGCGGCTTTTTTTTTTTGGGGGGGGGGCTTTTTTTTCTTCTTCAAGCTTGGATTGTATTACAGACAAGGTGGGGTACTATTTTGCTTTTTTGGTGGCCTCATGTACATTGGTGTCCTCCATAATTTGCCTTGTTCATTTGGTGGGCTAATTCTTTCCGTTGGTTAGCAATTAGTGTATCTGTTGGAATTGTTTTTAAGCCAATAAAATAGATGAGATTTTTAAAAACTTTTTACATGTAACGGCTGGGGCGAAGTGGGGATGGGGCGAATTGGGGATGGGGCGAAGTGGGGATGGGGCGAAGTGGGAATGGGGCGAAGTGGGAATGGGGCGATGTGGGGATGGGGCGAAGTGGGGATGGGGGGAAGTGGTTAGGGGCGAAGTGACATGGGGCGACGTGGAAATGGGGCGAAGTGTCCGACATTCGCCGGAAAGATTCCCATATCTGGCCATCACTTGTCACCCCTAGCCCTGTGCACAAACCTATTGGACTGGTCTAAAAATGTCTAAGTGTTTTCTTAGTAAAAACTGCAATATTTTTCCAGCTAAATTTTACTTTTTAAGGGCATATTATCACTTTCTGATGGCTGATAAGTCACTGAAGGGAAAAATTAGTGATGGTGTCGAGCGCAATTTGAGTCCCCCGCGCAAGTTTAAACTTGCGCGCGCAAGTTTAAACTTGCGCGAGGGACTCCTGAAGCACGCAAATTACAACGCGCCATTTTAATTTGCGTGCGCAAGTTTAAGCTTGCGCAAAGGCGACGCAACCTTCTTTTGTGGGCGGGATTTTCATTGATGAAGAATTTTTTTTCAAAACACGAGTACATGGAAAAATAATGGAATAAATGAATGAATAAAGAAATAAATAAAAAGGGGAATTCAATAAGCGTCAATGAAAAGAAACATTGAGATTTAGCAGTGCTTATCAGAGAAGTTGTTTAAGAGTACGTGGGGGCGGGGCCAGGGAGGGGACCCGGAAAGCAATCAACTTAAGCACACTAGCGGCGATTGCTTGGCAAGTGTACTGAAGTTGTTCAAAAATGGAGACCAGCTTCAAGTTTTTTGCTTTGTAAACCTAATTAGCATTTTATTTATATTCTTGAATGTAAATAAATCATAATTTCCTAGGTGTAACCCGCTGTTAACGTAAAAAGAATGATTATGATCCCTTCAATTGTTCAGGTTTTGACATTATACTAAATCATTTACATTATTTTTAAAATGCTTATGTATTCTACAATTAAAAAAGTACTTACTCTTAAAAAAATACTAATTAATTTAACAATTAATAAATTGTACGGTACAATAATTCATATTGTTTTTAGAAATACTTGCATAACATTTCGAGCGCTGTGTACACTTCAAAAATGCATAATTTGAAAAAAATTAATGAATGCATTACTAATTTAATTAATTAATTAAATGTATTAATTTAACAATTTTTTTTATTGCAGGCTCAATAATTCATATTAAAAAATGTTTACAACTTAAAAACGCTATGCATATAAAATGGTAATTATTTTAAAAAGTAAATAAATTTGCAAATGATTTAATTAATGAATTTAATCAAATGTTTCAAAAAAAGGCATTAAGGCATTGTCTCCCGCAGCTCAGTGATGCTATTAAATCGGAGAAAAAAAATCTGCTTTAAAAATAATCTGCATGAGTATACCCAGGGGCAAAATAGTTTAGCGGCTCTGTATGCGTGGCCGGGAAAATCTATGCAGTGCGCAAGTTTAAACTTGCGTGCGCAATTTGTAGCAAGGAAATGAATGCGCGCGCAAGTTTAAACTTGCGTGCGCGCAAGTTTAAACTTGCGCGCGCAAGTTCGAACTTGCGCGGGGGACTCACTTTGCGCTCGACAGCGGCAAGATATGGGAATCTTTCCGATAGGCCTAACTTGTTTTACTTTTCGAAGTGGCTATCGTTACGGCAGCCGTTGTTTAGCCCCCTCTACGATACTTTTTTGATACGCACGCAGGTATATAATTATTTGTTTCCCCACATGTTAGCGAGCAGTGCGACAGCTCAGTCGATAGATTAGAGGGTAGGATTTTGCACCGCGAGATTGCGGGTTCGCATCTCAGTTTTGCACTCCAATTTTTTTCCTTTTCTAACCTGAGGCTTTGGAGGATTTTTTTTTAAAGCCTAAAGGGAAAGAAAGTCCGAATTTCATAACGTTTAAATTCACTTTTTTCCTTCTAATTTTATATTTTCTTCTCATGTTTTTATAAAAGTTGCAGTACTACCGTAACGATAGAAAATGGGAAATGCGTGCGTTACGGCTGCCGTAACAATAGCCACTGCGTTTACTTTTATGTCGGCCCTAGGCCCTATTGTTTATTGCTAGCCCCTAGTACTAGTCCCATAAATGTGACTGAAATACTGGACAGGCGCAGATCCAGGGGGAGGGTTTTGGGGTCCAAAAAAAAAAAAAACCCAGCTCTGTCAAAAAAAAAAATTATCATACAAATTCCTAAAAAATAATGCGAACCCCCCCCCCCCCCCCCCCCCCCCCCCCCCCGCTGGGACACCCAAAAAAAATTATACTGGTCATAATGCCCGCCTGTTCAAAATACGGTACACCATTCTGTAATCTAGGGTTAATAATCGTCGAATTTGAACAGCGCCCCCTATTGAAACATGGTACCAGCCCCCAGTGTGCTAGCTTGAGTAACTCCAGCTGACATGCTCATATTCATTCATGTGAATGAATATGAGCATGTCAGCTGGAGTTTCTCAGGCTACAAGTGTACAACACACAACGTGGTTGCTTTAATACCAAACGCTAGCCTACTGAAATGGTGGCCGATCACGGAGAATTAAACCGGATGGTCACTTGGTACTTTAACGTCATACGATGGGAACATCATGCGATCTGATTTTTTTTAGATATTTTTATTCGTCTGCTTAATGGGTTTGTTTCTCTTTCAGACTGTAATACATTTCATTCTTTTCTTTTCCAGCAGGTGAGATACGATGGGTGAATTTCGTGTCCACCATGTCAAGTTTTGTGACTATGTTCCCAGTGCTATTCAGTGCATTGCCTGTGACAGACACGGTGGTACATCTTGTGATAGACTAGCTGTCGGACGGGAGGATGGATCAGTAGAGATATGGAGCATTAAGGATAAATGGTACCAGGAAAAGGTGCGGAAAAGTAACTTTTAAAGTAACATTTTACATGTATGTATGGTGAGCTCATATCACGGGTTTACAGGTGGCATGGGTGGCTTGTGCGTAAAGCGCTCGCCTCTCACCAAGGTGACCACGGTTCGAATCCTGGCCGCGGATCACATGTGAGTAGAGTTGTGCGTTGGTTCTCTCCTGTGCCACGAGGGTTTTTCTCCGGGCCCTCCGGTTTTCCTCCCTCCGGAAAAATCAAACACTTTCGATCTCAGGCTGTGCTCCGTGGTCATATATGGGTCGATGATGCCGGCAGCCATAGGTGCCAGCGGCCCTACCACATTGTAGCCGCGTCCTTCGCAATTCAGCATACCAGCTGCGAGTAAGGATGATTAGCCTCCCAAATTATTATTATTATTATTAGTATTATTATTATTACATAGCTGCCAACTGTTACGAATTTTTCGTAATTATTACGAATTGTTTGTTAAATTACGAAAATACTATTTGCCACTAAAACATTACGAATTTCCCATTTTCTACATAACGAAAAAAAAATACTTGTAAAGTATCGTTTTTGACCGAAAACTTCTGGCGAAATGTCGCGATAATGGATGGACTAGTGACAAGTCTAATAAGAATGCAGTCAAGCACCTGATAGACATCAATGCAGTGTGCGCAGTGGAGTACTTGAGGACCAGACTAAAAGTATTTTTCAATGGTGTGTCATTTGTGTGCATCTCGTGGATGTGTGGTTGTGTGTACTGTGTGTGAGTGCTTTTCAGTGACGATCGTGAGCACATTTGGTCGCTTATTGCCGGGATGAGACCCATCAGTGCGAGATTTTAATCATGGAATTTAATAAGAGTATGGTTGGAATAATCGGTAATAGAGTTTGAGTTTGTCACAACGTCCAGAAAAGATAAATCAGCATGAGTTTGCAAGGTATGTTGGCGGGATATTTCTATTGCATACGGTGGCCCTAAATCATTGTGTGTAAAAACATTGATGATACGAACTCGAAACTCCACATCGATAGCATGCATCTCAAACAAAATATGTGCACATGTTATTGTGGTTATTATTTATTTGACTTCAACAAACAAATACAGACATTAAAACAAAATTAATTAAAAAAAAAAAATATTATTATTATTTTTTTTTTTTTTATTTTTTTTTTTTAATTATCTTTTGGCCTACAGTACTTTATTATTCACAACAAGAAGGGTATGCACATGTATGTGTACATGTAAACCATGTACCTGTACTCGATGTTTGTAAAGCTTTTGATAAAACGAGCAGTTGAAAATGACGGCGCGGGTTGATTACTAATTGGGATTTTGAAAAGTTGGCAGCTATGTTATTATTATTATTATTATTATTATTATATATTGTTTTGAAATGGCACCCGCTGAAGTTGGAATAGTGTACATTGCTTGATGTTAATAATTAGTTTAATTCCATCAGATACATTTATGTGCATTACAAAGTTAATTGCGTACACAATCAATTCATTCCATTTTGGACATCTGAATTTCTTAGACCTTCCAGGCGTTTTGACACAGTTTTTTCCCCCCTGCAAACAAAGAGGCAAAACTCTAACCAATCTTTGCGTCATCCGTTGGCTTGTTAAAGTGGTTATGGCTTTTTCAAAGCAAGTAAGAAACCAAATACAACTGTTGGTTTATCAAAAGTTTGGTTTTTCTTCTTTTCCAGCCATTTGTGTAGAAGTAAAACGGGCATTACAGGCACTGTTTGTTGGTTGTTGACAGTAAATAAATATTTGCTTTTCCCCAGCTCCCTAGGCATTTTGTGTCGAGAACCATTGGAATCAACGCTGCAGTATGAACCCAAAGGCCAATTCTTAGTGGGTTCACTTTGCAGTGCTAAATCCATTAGAATCACTGGCAAGTTGATAAAATGCAGGTAGACCATGGAAAATGTGGGGTGCAGCCTTCCTTTCTGTTATTGGCCTTCAAATGAATTGACCATATACCAGCCACTAAATCATGTAATTAGATGTGGGATTGTGCTGTAATTGAGGATTTTTTGAGTTACTAAATTTGGGCACGTGTGGTCTAGCGGTAGGGCACAGGATTTATGATTGTGAGATTGTGGGTTCGAGCCCCGCCGTGGCCATGCGTGTTGTGCCCTTGAGTAAGACGCTTTACCTCAATTACTCCTCTCAACCCAGATGTTAAATGGGTACCGGCATTATTCAATGCTGGGAAGGTAACAGACTCGCTGTAGAGGAGGTGTGGCGATCCCCCCACAGCAGCATTTCATGGACTCGAGTCTGGCCCAATCGCTTCGAAAGAGAGATGGGCACTCTGTTCCTGTGAACACAGGTTTGTCCCCGTCTTTTACTTAATTAGATGATGACAGGAATGCGAAACCTTATCCTCATATGTTAAGTGATTGACAAGCCTTTTAAGTATTAGCTGGTGGATTGTGCATACTCTGCAGGTCATCCCAGGTTCTGAGAAGAGACGTGTAGATTCATTAGCATGGGTCAATGGCAGACTCTTCTCTTCTGGCCTACAAGGAGACATCACTGAGTACGATCTCAAGAAATGTGCGCCAAAGGTAGGAGCATTGATTTTCTTGATCTTGCCACCATAAGGTCATCTAGACACAGCAGATACTACCTGGTAGTAGACATTTTATTGATGTTGCTTATCTCCACCTAGTTTTGATTTTATTGCTCCCCTTCATGCGTGCCTTCAACATTTGATCATGGTTGTGCACGGAATGAGTCCCCCCCCCGCCCAAAGTGCTGAAACAATATGCTCCTGCATATTAATTACCCATTGACAATCTTCATTTTCTTTCCAAACGTTTCAGCACACACCCATGGCGAAGCTTGTGGTGCTACTGCACTGCTGCATGTTAGATAATAGATATATGTTAGATGCAATATGAAACGGAACATTTGGATTTCAGCAGGAAAACTCGCAGCAATTGAAGGCTACGCTGCAACGATTAACCAGTTCATGCCGGGATCATTTTGACAAAAACGGAACGAGGCGTGGGATTACTTTTCACTCGACCTCAAGCCAGGCGGGTTGAAGCCATCACCCTCGGACAGCACACTCATATTTCAGGCCATGCTCGCTGCGAGCGGGTCACTCCCTCACTCCCTGCGTGTTTATCCGTTATCCGTTTTTAGTACCACAAAACCTTTGCGGGTATAGATGTCATCCTACACGAACTGGTTTCTTCTCGGCTTATATCCCATCCTTGACAATGTAAGAGAACAGTTGCCAACTGCTGTGACTGCATTGCCGCTGATACCATCAGCCTTATTGAGATATGATGGACAGAATAGGAGGCCGCTATATGATTTGGGTCAATTCTTTTGTATCAGGCATGCAACTTTTCCTTGGATCCACTGATTTCCTCATTTTTATGCCCCGCGGCGAAGCCGAAGGGGCATACTGTTTCCGCCTTGTCCTTCCGTGGGTGGGTGGGTGGGTGGGTGTGTGGGTGTGTGTGTGGGTGGGTGGGTGTGTGGGTGTGTGTGTCCGGATAAATCGTGTCAGCGCGATAACTTGAGAAATACTTAACATATGAACTTCAAATTTGGTTTGTGGATTGTTCTTGGTAATCCTAAGAAGCCTATTGCATTTGGGGCCGAAAGGTCAAGGGTCAAGTTCACAGTGGCTAAAACAATAGAAATCTTGTCAGCGCGATAACTTGAGAAATACTTAACATATGAACTTCAAATTTGGTTTGTGGATTGTTCTTGGTAATCCTAAGAAGCCTATTGCATTTGGGGCCAAAAGGTCAAGGGTCAAGTTCACAGTGGCTAAAACAATAGAAATCTTGTCAGCGCGATAACTTGAGAAATACTTAACATATGAACTTCAAATTTGGTTTGTGGATTGTTCTTGGTAATCCTAAGAAGCCTATTGCATTTGGGGCCAAAAGGTCAAGGGTCAAGTTCACAGTGGCTAAAACAAAAGAAATTTTGTCAGCGCGATAACTTGAGAAATACTTTACATATGAACTTCAAATTTGGTTTGTGTACTGTTCTTGGTAATCCTAAGAAGCCTATTGCATTTGGGGCCGAAAGGTCAAGGGTCAAGGTCACAGTGGCTGAAACAATAGAAATTTTGTCAGCGTGATAACTTGAGATATACTTTACATATGAACTTCAAATTTGGTTTGTGGATTGTCCTTGGCAGTCCTAAGAAGCCTATTGCATTTGGGGCCGAAAGGTCAAGGGTCAAGGTCACAGTGGCTAAAACAATAGAAATCTTGTATTTATTCTGAGATCATAGGGATTAGGGATTAATTCATATAAAACCTACAGAAGACACTAATGCTGTCAATTAATGAACGTTCCATGTGACCAAGGTACATGTAAGTTGATGTTAAAAGAGTGGTGTTATGTCATGGGAACAGTCACGGTTGCGGGGCATTTGTGTTTGTAAACACACCTGACTTGTTTACTTCACACTTACATGTATGGCATTAAAAATTGAAAAACGCTGTACAAAGTCTTGTAAAAATTGGAGTTTCCCCTTTTTTTGTTTATTCCAAGTTGCATGCCTGTTGTATTTACCCAAATTTGCTCAGCTGTATGAAATAGGGCCCTGGGAGTGATCCACACACGTCTTTCTTTCCCATGGTACTACATGTACAAGTTTAACCCTCCTATGCAAACATACATTCTGTGCCAAGTTGTCCTTGTAGTCAAAATCAATCAAGTGACTGTTTTCGCCCCTGTAAGAATTCCCAGCCCACATAAAGCAGGATTGACTGCCTTGGACTGCTTAAGTAACTTGATACAGCTATGCTTTGACTCCGGGAGAGTGATAAAACAGCTGTGACCACAACTTGCCTGGTTTGTCTGTTGACCCAGTTTGACTAGTCACAGTGTTTGCTTGACATAATGATCTGACTGCTGGTGACTAGCCTTTGTTAAAAATATAGCAAGGGGAGTGAAAGTGAATTTTGACTGTCTGTGACTGCTTAAATAGTAGGATTGTTAACAACAGTTGAACATACATTCCATTTATAGTTCCATGTAATACAGTTCTTGAACACATATACATTTGTATTTTCATATTTTTGTTATTTTTAATGAATTTATTTATTTTTTACAGAAGACTGCGATGTATGGCAGTGCCTTCTGGTGTATGCAGCAAAATCATGCTGGAACGCATTTAGCGGTGAGTTTAAGGGGCCAAGGGAATGGTAGAAAAATATCTTGGAAGTTGAAAAAGTATTTTGATGCAACTGAGTTGTGCTTGTTAGGTTGTCAGCCAATAGGAACATTTGTTTTGTGTTGTTTGATCGTCCCTCGTGAGCCAATCAGAAACTTGGTTACTCGCTGTGTGTTGCCAGCGTGCTAAGCTCATACTGAGTACGCTTGTCCAAACTTATGTAGTCTCACCGCATTCAAAATGTACGGTGACTGTTAGTTTTAACTTGCGCATGCTCTACTCCATGACGATTGCCGTGCTAGCACGATACGCGAATGTTTGTATTGTACATTGTTGTCGTACGTAGCATGTGTGTGGTATTTCAACGTATGTATGGTGTATTGCGATTGTGGCAGATTTTTCCTGCCCTGGAGCAAAAAACCCATTGGCATCCCTGTTAGGCCAAAAAAAAATTATCCGGTCTCTGGTCAGACCAAAGTTCCGGAATTGACGCGGCGACGCGTTTTTTTTTTTTTTTTTTGCTTTTTTTTTTCTTCTTCAAGCTTGGATTGTACAGACAAGGTGGGGTACTATTTTGCTTTTTTAGTGTCCTCATGTACATTGGTGTCCTCCATAATTTGCCTTGGTGCTTTCGATCATTTTCCTTGGTGCAATTTCCCTCTCCTTGGTGCTCTTTGGTAAAGCAAATTGAGGAGGTGCGGAAATAGAGGGCGCTGTTGGAGCTACCGCGGAACATTTTGGGAAAAAAAAAGATCGACGCGCATGATTAAAATCGACGCGCGCGCTGACCAGAGACTGACTTATTATTTTTTTTGGCCTTACATTGATAAATCTCATGACAAACGATCTGTTTAATTCCCGTTGTGGTAGACTGGTACTGAGGATGGCTGTGTGAAGCTATTTGAAATAGCTGAAGAAGGTGTGACCTATGACCGGTCACTTGACCCCCAGGAAGGTCGCGTGATGACCTTAGCATGGCACAGGTCAGATGAGGTCATCGTTACAGGGTCAGTCAACACTATCAGGATATGGAATGTCTCAACAGGTGGGTGTTGCATTTCTGTTTTTTTTATGTGTTTAAAAGTGTTTGCTTAATTCTCTTGAATAAGATATGTCTTCTGTGGTATTTGAAATGTGGATATTTCATAAATACTTTGTATTGTTTAATAACAACCAACAGTGTTTAAGGTAAGGCTTACTGCAGGCCTTCTGATACATGCCTTATTCATTTGTGACTGACACCATGACATGATAATAATGTCGGAAATTGCAATTTTATAATATAGGTTTTCCCGGCCAATTTCGTGAAGTGTTCCTTCACTTCTGAAAATCGGTCATTCATTCTCGTCTGAATTTGAATGCACGTCTTTAATCCCATTTCAATGCAACGAAAATTCAATCGTTTTCATTGTCCGGGCATTCGGCTTTTTTGAGAACAGACGGCCAGTTACGTTACCTGTGCATTCATTTACGCAAGCATGCCTTTTCTAAATTGATTTCAGGTACAGCTAATTCGATTGACGATTATTGAAAAAGAAACCCCTAATTGTATCTGGTGCCGATGGCATTAAACTAAAAGTGAAATAGAATGGTGATTGTTTGAAATCGCCCTCTAAAAGCGAAAAAGAAGTCTTGTAAACGAATCTGAATGGACATAAAGGAAAGGTGCTGCCTAATTACTTAATTGAATGAACTGAAATGGAATCGAATGCTCCAGTAGCGAAACTGAAACAAGTGTTCAGAGCAATTCTCATATACAAGAGAAAATGAATGACCGATTTTCGGAAGTGATTGAACATTTTAGGAAATTGGCCGGGAAAACCTCTACAATGAAGCAAAGTAAAAAATCAAAGGGATGGTCCATTTTTGATACTCAGATGAACCTGAATGTCCAGTTAGTTTAAAACCTTTTTTCATCCTGTTTTATTACTTGACTGTTCATTCACTGTAAAACAGGAGGATTTATAAATGCCGTTATCTCAAAAATTAGTCCTACAACTTCAGTTAAGTTTGCGTTCTATATTTCTGTTCCCGAACTCAGTGCCTCTACCATCGGAAAGCTCTTGTTGTGCAAGATATAGATATATAAATGTCTCAGTTCTTTCAGAGTTTGACAAGTCACATTCATTGTCCTGTTTTCGCCAAGGTCACGCTGTGCAGAGAATCAGCATGCCCAAGGTATCGCTGCGCAGTATGCTAGCACCACCAGATACCATTGTGTGGAGTGTCACCATCACCAGTAACTACACCATCATTAGCTGTGACTCAACAGGCAAAACACAGTTTTGGAATGGAAGGACAGGCACTTTAATCAAGGTATGCATTAAAGCTATAGTCCATCATTTGCAGCCATCCGAAAAAGTAACTGGCGTATTATTGTTGAAAAACATACTTGGTTGAAAGATAGTAAGTGGACTAAACTCATTGTGAAATTAATCTTTCTGGCAAGCTATCATTTTGAAGTAATCAACGAAAGAAGGCCTTTCCAACGGTGCGTCTTAAGACGCACCGTAGGAAAATTTAAATTAGTAGTTCGTTTTGTTATTCGGCGCAGCGCGTGCGCGCCTGTGCGTTGTATCAATGCTTGCGCGGTTGCTATAATTCGTCGGATCAGTGCGCGACATCGCGTATAGCTGCAATTCAAAACAATTCAAAACATGATTCAGCAACTTTTGATTTGAAATTGAGATCCTAGAATGCTGTTTTTCTTGGAATATACAGCTGAAGCTGAGCTGAAACTTCATCAGGTTAGTTGTTCAGTATCCTTCATTAGATTTTGAACACTTTTGTTGCTTCAAACAAACAAAATGCACAAATTACAAATGATGGACTATATCTTTAAGTGAATTTGCTGGCAATTTTGTTTCAGTGACATACAACTCTTCATAGTCATTACTGCTGTTAAGTTAATCAATGGGATTAGTGTTTGCGTAGTTGAAGTATATTCGTGAGCAGGTCGTGAATTTCATGTTAAGTATTGCACACTACTGATCTAGTTGCTCAAAGATTTTACTACATGAGAAGAATTGTTATTAAACTTGATTTGAGCAGGCATTGTACAGAAAGGTTCCCCTTAAAGAGGTCATTTTTTTCCGTCATTTTTCGAGTATATGTAGCCTAAGGTGTGATGCAATAAAAACGACTATTGTTTCTGTCATGAAATGAATACAAAAGGTACTTTTGAGAGCTGTTTTTCAGGTCCGGTTTCGACCCAAACGTGCAATTTGTGTAAAAGTCGTCGTTGGGGGCAGCAAACAAAACATAGAAAATAGTGACGTAATAAACAGGACTCCCTATGTAGCGTAGTATAAACGAGTCCTGTTTATTACGTCACGATTTCTCTGATTTTACGAAGAACCTGACGACTGTTAATTTCAATTATGCGCTCGCCGACCAACAAATTACTCGATGAATTTCAGTTTTATCATCATATAAACGCACATTACAAAAGAATGGGAGTTTGTCATTATGATATATATGGGTCTACTCTACAGTACAAAAATATAAAAAACAAAAACGACTTTCAGCATTCCACAACCTCTTTAAATTCAATTCATTCAGTATACATTGTGTACAGTAACAGTCTTGTTCATTGTTCACCCCTATACTAAAAATACAAAGGGTGTGTATGTGTGGGTGGGCCGTCACCGCATTATTTGGTTTGGCAAAAGCCCCATAATGCGGTTATTGCAAATGTTAGGCAAAATAGGACTGAGTTATAGGGATTTCTGGTGTCCCCATTGCGTCTTCGGTCCCCATACATGTAGTACCAGGCCTTCCTCCCACCTCTTTTCATTGTCTTCTCTCTACAGGTTTCTTCAGGCTTGCGAGCTTACAGTGCCTAGGATTCCTTAGTTTCAGTATCAGAAAAATAATTCACCATTGGCTAAATATGGTCACAGAGAGCACTAGACCAACACTTAAATCACTGGACTTGATTCAGTGGGTGTTTCAAGCCCTATTGAGGAATGTACATATTCACCTCGTCTACAGCGTGCTGGAAATTTTGACAATCTGTTTCTTTGATTTCAGAGTTTCTTAAGCCACAAAGCCGATGTGCTTACAATGTGCATAAGTGAAGATGAGAGATCAGTCTGTACGGCAGGAGTGGATCCTTCCATTGCACAGTTTCACCTGGTAGATAAAGACGGTAGCTCTGACAGACTGACGTGGGTACGGTCTCGCAATCTGAGTGATAGAGCTCACAGTGTGGGTCACACTCATGACATCAAGGCCTTGGTCCACGTTGGCAACCAGGTGGTGTCTGGAGGTAAGTTTAGCAGATGAGTGTCAAAAGTATCTGAATCAAATAATGATTGCTCTAAACATCAGGACTAGTTGGAAAGATATTCTGTCCCTACTAATAAACATGCAGTGGCAGTCCTCTCAATTCATGTCTTTTATTCATTAATCATAAATCAACAACAACAACCAAAAGACATGGAGGAAACCTAGATCATGAACATGAAAGACGAATCAAATGAAACAGGCTAAATGGCAATGAAGCAAGGAACTAGAAATTAATGTGGAAGCAAAACAAACAAAAAATTGGGGTCTGCGCAATTGAAATATTAAATATTTAACAATTTAGCTTAACAAGAAAAGCATAAGCCAGGGAATAACGGTTACTTGGCTAGGTCAATGGAAAATTGATGAATGGGATGGGAGATAATAAGAAAATATACCTTAACCCTAACTCCCTAGCATGATTTACGAGGAACCATACCCATCCTGGCAAATTCCAACACCATATGGGAAACTGCACACACATATTTCTGACTTAGTTTCTGGAGGTGTGCCCAACCCAATGTAAAAGACTGTCAGTTTAGGGGTACTGTACCCATCCTGACAGATTCCAACAAAACATGCTGTTGGGGTTTGATGGGTTGAGTTCTGTTAGGGTTACTCTTGAGAATCAATCCAAACAGGGCTGTATTTTGAGTAGAAGGTAACGAAGGATGAGACCAATGCTGTTTTTGACAGGTGAGCGGTGAGTTGCCTTATTTCTGATTGAATCAGAATACAAGAAGCAAGTTTCCTTCAAGTACTATTGTCTCGAGACTGAAAAGTAGACTCTGGTAACGAGGTTGGGGCATTGGCATAATACAAACAACGAACACTGCGACTATCCTTAAACCCTCTGTATACCATTTTTTTGCCCAGGTGTGGATACCAATTTGCTAGTGAGCCCTGCCGAGGCTGAACCTACTAAGAATTGGAAACAGCAGACAACTCACATCAGAAGAGTCATCTCTGCTTTTCCTCATGTGAGTTTATATCCAGGGATCACTCATCACCATTGCTTGCCTTCTTTTCTAGGGAAATGAAAACAACGATGTTACTTAACCACCTTATGTGCTTGCATGCATTGTGTATGTTTAAAGTTTCCAGAAATTGTGTTTTTCCGATACAAAATGTGATGTTCCGTGGTTTTTGCATTCCATGGGCATATGCAACTTACAACATGGATAGGAAACAAAATGATATAAAGGCATCATTGGACCCTCCTGTTCATTGGGAATATTCTATTAGTTCTCTACTGACATAATAATAAATAATAATACCGAAGTCTTATATAATTATGTCTATTATTAGAGACAGGTAAATGAAGTACATGAGAAATATGAGAACCATTATGTAGCACCTTTATAATGGTTTACAAGGTGCTGCAGCGCATTAAGCAGCCACTTCCAGAAACACCGTGGCAAACCCCTTCTCTTAGCGATAAGTGTTTCTGGGTTCTTTAACGTGCATTACACAACACACGGGACCTACGGCTTCACGTCCCATCCGAAGGACGAAGCTACATGTATAATGGTAAAGTGCCTTGCTCAGGAGTGCAAGCACCATGTTCCCACGGTCAGGATTCGAACCCATGGACCACGGCTCACGAGTCGAACACCGCAACCATTGGACCACAGCAGCCCACAGCCTTTATGGGATGGGACTTTATCACGTGTGTATGCACATTAACCCTAACTCCCTAGGTCTTTTTTGCTAGAATGTAGCCTCAATCCTGCAAAATCCTCAAATTGGCTTCATGGAAAAATAGCATATCTATAGCCTCAATCCTGCAAATTCCTCCATTATTTCTTGAATATGGTCTGTGGAGAGGTGACCACTGCCTGAATCCTGCAAAATCCTCCGGCTATGCCCTGTCAATAGTCAATAGGTTGAGGAAGAGGCAGTGACATCCTGGAGCAGTGCGGAGGATTTCAAGTATAATCAAGGACTAATTTATGCTAGGCTGAGCATAAACAACACAAGGTCTGGCCCAAAACCTTGACACAGTGCGTCCTCCGAAATCAGCAACGCACTTTTGCCATGTAACCTCAATCCTGCAAATTCCTCCAATTTGCAAAAAGGATTTTGGAGGATTTGGGATGGTTAGGGTTAACGATTAATCCCGTTGAGCAACACCTTGTAATCCTAGGCTGTGCTCATTTTCAAAGGCTTCAGTGTTCCAGTCTTAGTATTTCAAGACTACATGTATAATATCATTTGTGTTGATTAATTGCTCTGATGGATTGTCCTCATCAGAGATCTGGTGTGTACTGTGCCCCGGATGCAGAGTGTCTACTCTTTCAATTTCCGACGCACTTAGAGCTGTGGAAGCTGGGAACTGCATTATCAACTGAAGGTAAAGCTGTACAATAACTATTGTAATTTTTGCAATCACTATTCCAATTTTTTTTTTCTTTTCCGTAATAGTCTTGAATCCTGAATGTGTTGTGTAGTTTACAACAACTAAAATGGATGTACAAACTTAAGTCAAACTTAACATGCTTTAAATAAACAACTACCGTGATTAAGACAGTAGATTGTATTTAGGCCAAATTAAAAAAAACATGTTTAACGTCCCCGCCCGCTTCCTTTTTGGAGGCCACCTCCTTTTTTTTGTTTGTTTTTGTTTGTTTTTGTTTTGTTTAAACGAAAAAATGATACATTTTAAACAGTGACATCATTTTGGCCTCTTTGTCTGTTGCATCTAGCCCATATAAAGCTGGTATGTCATTTCCTGAGTCCAAGTGACGGCCATTTAAAAAAAAACTGGCGGCCATCTTGAAAAGTAGCCCGGTCGGGCGGCCATTTTGGAGGAGAAAAAAAGGGCCTCTTCCTTCCTTTTTTTCAAAAAGGCAGGACACTAAACATGTTTTGTTTTTTATTTGGCCTTGCATTGTGAGCTGTAAATTGTTTTTAAACTTGACTGTCCTGTTTAAGAGTTGGCATGTTCTCTATACACAACATATGTGGTTTGCTTCCAAACCTGCGTGTCAATTCAAATTTATTTATTCCACTTCTTTACCCAGGGTATGCCCAAACAGTTAAAAACTGGTTTCCATTGGGGCCCTGCATGCATTTATAACAAATTATTAAATAATAAGTAAAGTTTAAGTTAAACTCATAAGGAAAAGTACATTGGTGAAACAATTGATTCTGTTAATTCTGTCTGTCTACTTTCCATTGTTCTCTAAACTTGTGAAATGCTTCAAATAGGGATTCAGACGATCACCCTCCAAAAATACGTCAGTGAGTTTTGCTTAACACTGGACTTCTGCATCTGTTTGCTCTACCCACAGGTTCTGATGGGGAAACCCTTCCACTGTCCGATCATCAGGTTAAGCTCCTAGAGTTGAAGGCTAAGGTAAGAGCCATTCATTTCAAATGCAAAGACAGTAACTTATCAATATTTGGTGGTCAAACCAAATCATCAGTAACACTCTACAACTCCTTCAAGCTGAGTCCACTAAATATCCTTGAAGAACACCAGCAACTTCCTGCCAATAGTACACAGTGTTGTAGTCGAGTCCATCGCAAGTCCAGTCACAAGTAAATCACAAGTCTACACACAAGTTCAGTCACAGGTAACAGGGGACGGACAAAGGAATGCTTTTGTCACAGACAATTTGAATAGCTTATTACCTGACTTGGGGTCGGATTTCTTTGATTGACTAACCTTGGTCAATGCTCTCGTCGTTATTCGTGCCGTACGCAGTCCTCGTGTGCAATGCAGTGCATGTAAAAATACGGCGCGAATAGCGACCTCATGCGGCCACTATTTCTATGCAAATCGGTTGGGAACAAGCGAATGGGTCTAACTGATTTGCATAAAAATAGTGGCCGCGTGAGGTCGCTGTTCGCGCTGTATTTTTAATGCGCTGCATGCATAGTCTTGTGCTACTGCTAGCGCTAGCGAGGTATCGCGCTAGGGATGAATAAGGATGAGCGCCTTGACCAAGTCTAGTGGTTGACTTGTGAGGACATGTTATGGAATGACTACAGCACCAAAGTACATCATCAGACTGGAAGATGTGGAAAGACCATTGAGAACCCCCTTGTACCACACTATCCAGCATGCTTTACAACCAGCGCCTGCATTACTCCAGGGAGCTGGAACAGCTGAGGTATCAGACAAGAAGGAATGTATCATGCTGTCTATGAAAACCAGGAGTACGCCAAAGGCACAACTGTCATAGCCATAACTGCAATGTGAAAACTCAAACAACTGTGTAGGGCAATTCCACGGTTACTCACGTTACATTTTCGTAACGTGAGCAACCGATTTTGTGCGTCTTGTTTATCATACATGGCACATTTTTCTGGATGTCATCTTTGGTGCTTAAGTAGGTCTAGGTCTACTCTATCTACCATGGGGATAACAGTTATTAAACCTTTTCAGTAAGGTAATTACAGCCCAAGGAAACTCAAAAGTACATCAAAAATGTAACGTGAGTAACCGTGGAATTGCCTTGTAGCTTTCACAGTCGTTGAAGGTGGCGTAATACAAAGCGAAAAAAGGACACTGTTACTGACTTTACTTGCCCAACTCATCAAAGTTGATACAAGAAATTCACCCATGACAGAAATGTGGCAGATGACTCCCAATTCCTAAGTGAGCCAAAATAAAACTTTTTAGGCGTTTATCAAAGCTGTGGGTATCCTCATGCAAGATGTTTATAACGATATGAAATGTTGCACAGCTACCCAGAGTTTCATGAAACTGATTTTATGTTCATTGCTCACCTGTGCAACATATTTGTTGCGTAAATCCCCTGCATGGCATAAGTTACCCACTGTTTCATACAATTGGCTGCTGACAGTATTTCATACAGATAGCTTTGCTTATTGTGCAGTTGTGTGCACAATATAATTTGAGCTGGCAATTTTTTACCCAATCCAAATCCAGGACCTTGATTTTGCCATTTAAACTGGGTAAATCCTACCATTGAACTGATTACAGTATTAATACTCTAGACAGGGTCACAGCATTTACCATCAACAGTAAAGGCCACTCTAACATAAGACACAGACAGCTTCACAACCACATAACAAACAGTGACGTTTCATGTTGGGAGGAAGTCAATTCAGCCAACACCTTTGGACCAGTCAGTTTGCACTACTTTCCCCCTCAAACCATGTTGTATTTGTTTTCAATCTTCATGTCCATCAAACACAGCTTCAAAATATTCAGTGTCATTGCATGTCTACTTTGTAAGTGAATATTGAATAAGGAAATGGACAAATGTACATGGACAGTCTACAAAATCAGTTTTCATTTCGTCGCGTCAGTGCAACAAGGTCGTAACTCGATTTATGCAACAAAGTCGTATCTCGCGCGAATGCGCTCCGTGCAACAAGGTCATATCTCATGTATCGCGACGTCCATTGACTTGGTGTGTCCATCCGGGTTATTTTAAGCGAGATACTATTAGTTATCCCGTGAGCGCGAGTGGAACACGGAATAATGTAGTGAGTCTGTGTCCCACATACAAGGCACTACATTTTCTGTGTTCCACGAACACAAGCGGGATAACGAATTTATCTTCAAGCAAACTTGACGCAAAGTAAAGATGGAACACGCACGCTGTACACACACTTTTCAGCGGTTATCCTATTGCACGTGCGTGTTGTACGCGGAATGGCGCTCGCATCTTAGAAAAGCGCAGTACGCGGAGTGCGGTGTGGACCGAGGCCGTGCTACATGGTTATATGTAGCACGGCTTGTTGCCATGGATCGACCAATCAGGATTGAGGATTTAAGTTTACTTGAACATAAGATCTTTTGACATTCTGTGCAGTTTCAAGTAAATCATTTGCTTTACTTCACTCATTAACACAGAATAAGTTTGGATGGATAGATTGCATTTTAAAACTACTTGGGATAGTTTACTTGAACATAAGATCTTTTGACATTCTGTGCAGTTTCAAGTAAATCATTTGCTTTACTTCACTCATTAACACAGAATAAGTTTGGATGGATAGATTGCATTTTAAAACTACTTGGGATAGTTACAAAATACCCGGATGGCAGCATAGCTGCCTGTGTAGCTGCAATGTCCATTATGTAAATATGAACATACAGGCCTCCTTCACAGGACCCTATTAATAATGTCAGCTGTGATAATGGACACACAATTGATTCTGTGTTGATAGCCTGAGGCAATCCTCAGCACGTCTGTTTATTCCCTAGACTCCTTGACTGCAAAGCCACTCATCTAGATCTCTTTTCTCCAACTTGCCTTCTGAATTTGTAGTTTATTGAACCACACTAGAGCCCTTTTCACACTAGAACCTCTCAACCCGGGTTGAACTTAACCCTGGGCGAACCCAGTGCTGCCCCGGATTGAGTTTTTGATTTTTCAACCCCGCGTTCAACCCCGCGTTCAACCCCACATCGTTTCACACTTGTTTCTTGCAAATCAAGCTTATCACTACTGTTTTGAACCCTGGCAAGAATTTCAACCTGGGTTAGAAATCTCAATCCTGGTCTGGAGCAGGGTTGAGTTCAACCCGGGGTGAAATCAATCTCGGGGTTGACGCAGGGTTGACGCAGGGTTGAAATTCTTCAAGTGTGAAACGATACATGTTTTCGACCCTGCGTCAACCCTGCGTCAACCCCGAGATTTGTCTCGTGTGGAAAGGGCTTAGGTGAGCCCCACGACCATATTCAAGGAGTGTGTTAAGCCTATCTACGTCTGGCTATCTGCTCTGTGTATCAACCATTGAGGGCAGTGTGTAATATCGCAGTTATGTACACGGGGCTGATCATGCATGCCTCAGCCATTTCCTGCTGGTTGCAAAGGATTAATCACTAAACTACATCATACCCTATAGAAAAAAATAGAATGATTTCGAGCTAAATGTGTCATGTTTGCACCGAGTATCCTGTGACAGGTAATGCAAATTAAGGTTGACAGATGCTATTTTTATGTAAAAGACTACACTGAGACTGACATGAGTGATGTGTGATGGCAGCAGCTGTCAAGGCAGGCAACATGCGTAGACTCAAGCCAAGAGCAGTGTAACCTTGCCCAGCTGACTGAATAGGGTCCCTGCTTCCTCAGGAAATGTGTCTATCGGCAATGGTTGCTTAGACTTATCCTGAAACTGGCTGTGAACGCCAGGGAAGGTTTAGCATTATCATTGTATATCTTGCCCATTATTTGTGGGATCTTGGCTTTTTACCAATGTTAGGAAACTCCTCATTTTAACTATGAGCTCCGTGCCAAACAAAGAGGGCGCCCTTTTACCTAGCAACCACGTCCCATGGGCGGGACATTTCGTTCCTTGTGTGTGACATATGTACACCAGGGGATTTGTACTACGTACACACACTGTGTCACACAGTGGTACGGTCGCGCGTCGCGGCAAATTGCAGTCAGGCAAGATGGCGTCGATCGGTCACCCCCCACTGTACTTTGTTTGCCGGTGAGGGGGTACTTGTGAACGGAGGGGATAGCGTAGCTACTTTAAACCTTTTAAATTATCTTTTTTTTCGAGGGGGGGTGTTGAGTTTTGTTTGAATAGTTTTGCCTCGATAGTTTTGCCTCAGCGTTTGAGTTAGTTACAGGGGAGTAATTCATCTGCCACAATTATTCCACCTATTTTCCTTAGATAATATCTGATATTAATTCCTTACTTGCACATGTTTCATTGCAGTAAGAATAGACTCATGTTTTCCTCAAGTCTTCAAAATCATTGGCTTAAAGTCATAAAAATAGCACATTAAAAGAGGACAATACTGAGATATGAAAAATGGCCAGTATTTTCATCATCTCTTGCACTTCCTTGAAAGCACTTGTTAGTCTGCCAACGCACATTATATTTTCTGTGTGATTTCACCAATTCCCGATACAAGCAAAGACCAGACCAAATTTGGTGAATAATCTTATCGGCAGTGTTCCAGACAGCAGGGTTGGTATAAAGAAGGCAAAAACAAAGATAGCATGTGCAGATATTTTTTTTTCTTCACATTACTGGTAATTTTCCACGGGGAACGGAGGCCTTGAACCCCGTAATTGGGAACAGATGGCAAGGTTCCTCAGACATCATCAATGTTTCATCCAACATAACTACGACACCTCTACAGCTTATACAGTTACAGATGTGTCCTATGAGTCACTAACGAAGACTGGACATTTTGTGTACGGAGACCTTTTGATGGACTTGTGAGAGATCTTCTATAACATCCAATTTTTCATTTGTACTGTTTAACCATTCACTTGATCCGCTCATTGCATCAGCCCCTGATGAATGATGTATAACTTTCTTCCAAGTATACAGGCAGTGTATAGAACTAGTGATGACAACATAAACATTCAGGCATTCTGTTGCTACCCAAATAATCAAATGAAAAAGGATATG